GCAGGTATGTTTAAGTATGTAGGATTGGGGGCTGGGGATTTAGCTCAGCGGCTTAAGCACCTGCCTTGCAAGCAGGCAGTCCTGAGTTCGATCCCCGGTACCGATAAAAAGGAAAAAGACAAAAAAAAAAAAGTATGTAGGATTGATAACCATACTACTAAGTTTTTGTTGGATCGTTGAACAGAACTGTTTGCAGTCTCGCTGTTTGAATGTCTACTTTGTATGCTTTAATTTTGTAACTTAAACAACTATTTCTAAGAGAACAAGATGTAATTTATCAACTAGTGATTTCTTACTGTTTATTTTTTTTTGAAATTATGTATTTCTACCCTTTTTCTGTTTTGCTTTTTTTCTCCTTAAATAAAATTTTAAAAAGTAGAAAAAAAAAGATTAGACATTTTGATTTTTGTTTTGTTGAGGCAGAATCTCATTTTGTAGCCCAGGCTGGCCTTGAACTCACAGAGATCCTCCTGACTCAGCCTCCCCAGTGCTGGGATTATAGGCATTCTCCACCACACGTGGATAATTAAGCATTTTAAAATGAACAATTCAGTAGCCTTTAGTACATTCACGATATTGTGCAATCATCACCTTCATCTAATTCCAAAATATCATTACTCGGAAAGAAAACCCATTCAGCAGCCACGTTACATTCAGTGTTTCCTCCAGCCCTTGACAACTACCAGTCCACTCTCTTTGGCTTTACCTGTCCTGGATATTTCACCTAATTGGAATAATATACTATATGATTTTTGAGTTTGTTATCCATTCCTCACCTGGTGGGCATTTTGTTTGTTGCCACTGTTGTGAATAGCGTTGCCGTGAATATGCATGAATAAATATTTGCATATCTGTTTCAACCCTTTGAGAGATACACCGAGGAGTGGAATTGCTATGTCCATTCTATATTTAACCTTCTGAGGAACTGCCAAACCATTTTCCATTGTAGGAAAATTTTTAATTTTCTAACTCTGAACATAAAGCCAGACTGGCTCCAGCCTGTATAGCAAACTGCTGCCAGGGCAGTGGTTTTTAGATCAAAGTTTGACCAAATATTGAGAGGCGGCTTTGTGGTTGCTCATTTGGAAAAATGCTTGCGAAGTCGCTGCCTGGCTTCTGCTTTAGTGGCTGTCCTCACACCGCTTCTCTGAAGTCCCTGTTTTCAATGCCTTCGAAGTCCAGTTGTTGGTAACTAGAGAAGAAAACAGCTGAGCGACCATTTCCCCAAAGAGGATGACGCGGCTCTTTAAGGCCTTGGTGGCAGCAGAGGCTGGGTCGAGGCTGGGCAGGGCACTGCACAGCACCCCACGTTCCCTCCTGTACCCTGACATCTGACTGTGCCTTCCTCCTTAGCGGGAGCAGCCGCGTAGCTCTCACTACTTGCCCCATGCAAACATCAGAAGTGCTACTGGGGTCAAACCTTGCCAAAGAGGCATCAGGGCTGCAGTAAAACCCTGTGCCAGCCCAACGCTGTGGCGCTCACCTGTAATCTCAGCACTCTGGGAAGCTGAGGCAGGAAGATAGCAGGTTTGAGCCCAGCCCAGGTAAATTAGCTGCTCAGTGAGACCCTGTCCAAAAATAAAAGTGGAAAAAAGAGTTGTGCATATAGGTTCATGTGGAGGCCGGGGCTCAGTCTTTAGTACCACCACAACAAAACGAAACAAAGCCCCACATCTGTCCCCAAGAACCGACTGAAGAGCGTGTAAGGCGGGGTTCAAGAGGCATTTAAAAATAAACCAGAGGATGAATGGGGTTTCTTTTATGAATATTTTTTATTTGTTTTAATTTATTAATTTTTATTTTGGGTTCGTTTTTCTTTTCTTTTTGAGACAGGCTCTCACTATGTAGTTCAAACTGACCCTAAGCTCACTGTGTACTCCAGACTGGCCTCGAACTCCTGATGATCCTCTTGCCTCAGCCTCCTGATGGCTCACATTATAGGTGTTCACCACCATGCCCAGCTATGAATTATTTTTTAAAACTCTGATGTCATCAACATGTTTGATGGTACAAAGACAGATTTACATGGAAAAGTATCAACTGAATTCACGTGTGGGGGCTGGGGATTTAGCTCAGCGGCATAAGTACCTGCCTTGCAAGCAGGCGGTCGTAAGTTCGATCCCCGGTACTGATAAAAAGGAAAAAGACCAAAAAAAAAAAAAAAAAAAAACATTCACATGTGATTCAGACAAATTGGGATGTTTAAGTTTTCAAAATTTTTGGATCAATTTATTTTGCTTATATTTACATGTGAGTAGACATCTGATACAAATGTGCCAAATCTAAACACCCTTTCAATAAATAAAAACTTAAGTACTCTAAGTGCTTAGAAACATTCGTTTCATACTGGTATGTAACATTTAGTAAGATGTATTTTATGATCATTGACATTTTAGATTCACTGAAATACTGTTGGCCATGATTTGATGGATCTAGGAACCATGAAGTAGCAATTTCTACTTTGCTAGAGACCCAAAGTCTGGTGCCAATGTGTATTTTGAACAAAGGGAAAGAAATGAGCACCCAAGAGGCTGAGGCAGGAAGAACAGAGATGTAGTTCAGTATAAAGGCAATGGTTCAATCTCTAGTCCCATCAAAACAAAAGAACTGGGAGAAAAGAAAAACTGGAGAACCCACTGAGGACAAGTATATGAAATGCGCGCTGGTCTAAATTAGGAAATTAGGCAGGGATGTGGCTTTGTGGTAGTGTTCTTGCCTTGCATGCACAAGGCCCGGGGTTTGATCCTTTAGTACCAAAAAGTGAACTACAAAATTCACATTTATTAAAGAGTATGGCGGGCTTGGGATTTAGCTCAGTGGCACAAGTGCCTGCCTGGCAAGCCTGAGGTCATGAGTTCATCCCCAGTACCCCCCCCCAAATAAAGAATTGCCCAGAAGAATGATCCAAACAATTCCAGCAAGTCATCAGATCCTGTGGAATCTCTGCTGGGAGAAACAGTGGCAGGTCAGGACCCTCGGAAGGACGGCACTGCTCACAGCCGTGGGCTTGCAGTTTGGGGGCTCAAAGAAGATTCTTGTCCTAGAGGTGGGGACAGCTGGGGTGTCCAAACAATGAGTAGAATGGGGCCCCCATGCGCAGACACTGTGGGTCCTCCTGAGCTCTGGAGCCCACCCCGCTGATGCAAGTCCCGATCCTCAGGCCCTTCCACGGAGCCTCTGCTTCCTACAGCCCGCTCTTCCTAGCTCCAGCTGCCCCAGCCGCTCCCTGTAGCAGTTACCACATTCCCCTCCCACTTTCATTCTCTAATACTTAGCTTACTATTTCCTAGAATCAATTCCCTATTAAAATCCAGGAGCTGAGTTCTTTTACTAATTAGATTCTTATGCATACCAATAGGCTGATTTGCATTTTCTAATAATTAGCATTTCCTCTGTACCCCCCAACACACACAGCCCCCAACCTAGGAATTAAACCAGGGCCTTCACACTGAGCCATGTCCCTAGCCTTTTTTTTAAAATCTTGAGTCAGGGTCTCACTGAGTCACCAAATTGTCCCAGCTGGGTGTGAGTTTGCAATCCTTCTGCCTCAGTTGCTGGGGTTACAGGTATATACCACCCCAGACTGTTTCAATTTCCCCTGTATCTTCCATCAGGAGTCTCTGAAATTAGGGTTCATCTGAGCGGTTAGAGACAGAACATTGAATCAGCAGTCAGCAAACCTAGGTCTTAGTCCAGTGAGAACTGGTGGAGTTCTGTACCGTCTCTCAGCCTCAACTTAACCTATCTGTAAAGCAGGACGCTTCCTCTTTCCTTCTCCGGATGGGTGAAGGGGTCAGGTGAGACAGACAGCAGGCATAAACACAGTTCCCAGTCACATGTATTTATCTTGTGAAAATCAGCTGGTACGATTTATGAAATTTTTTCACAGGGCCAGTATTTGCTCTGCTTAGTAGACTTGTTTTTTATTTTGTTTTGTTTTTCGAGACAAGGCGTCACTGTGTAGTCCAGAATGGCCTCGAATGTACTATGTAGCCCCAACTGGCCTGGAGCTCAGCAGTCCTCCTGCCTCAGCCTTCTGAGTGCTGGGATTACAGGCGTGTGTTGCTACCACTGATTGTTGTAACTGCCTGCCCGTTGTTTATGATCTGTGATTTACCTTTCGCCCTATTTTTATCGGTTTTCTTCACTTTTATATCCATATTTATAAAATATGTGTGGTTCTGATGCCTTGCTGGTTTTGCTGAGCTTCCTTTCTTGTTTTATTGATTGCTATTAAAAGGGCATACGTGATAAGAGAGATGGTCCTACATCAAGAACCCAAAGCAAGCTGTGGGCTAAGCATGTATAAATAGAGCTCGGTGATTTGCCATTGCATTTATTTGAGAAATGTATTATGATTAGATTAGGGTTTTGTTTTGTTCTTGTTTTCCTATTTTTAAAAAGCTCGTTTGGGGTAGGAGTCTAGCCTCGTGGTAGAACAAATGCCGGGAACACTTGAGGCCCAGGGTTAGCACCAACAAGGAAAAACCTCACTTGTAGAGAAGCAGCAGACAATTCTGATGTACTATTTCAATTTTCTTTGTTTTCTTTGGAGGGGGGTGTGATGAGACAAAGTCTTGTTATGTAGGGTAGGCTGACCTTAAACTCACTTAGATAGCCCAGGCTGGCCTCAAACTTGAGGCAATCCTCCTGCCTCAGCCTCCCAAGTGCTGGGGTTATTTTATATACCAGACCCTATTTCAATTTTCTATGCAATAAATGCAGGTACATTTATTTAAAAAAAAAGAAAAGAAAACACCCATAACAAAATGAGACAGATACTGATTGATGATATTGCCACGTCAAGTTCCCGTCCTGTTCGCCTGTGCCAGCCCTGAGTAAGAATGGAGGGACGATGCGTGCTGTGTGTCTTTCCCAGTACTGACCCAGCCACACCTTTCTATGCCAGGACAGTGGGTCGCTGGGTACGTGCAGCAGCAATGTGGACTCTTCCCAGACTTCTTAAAGACCAGGCCACTGGCTCTTTTTGGGTTTCCTAGACTCGAGAAGAAGACAGGAACCAGGATGGGAAGGCAGACGTGCTGCATTTTAACCTGGAGCTTCCCCTGCAGTCTACAGAACACGTACTCGGCGTGCAGCTGCTCCTGACCTTCACATACCAACTGCACGTGAGTCGGTCCTGAGGGAGGCCCCTCCCTATTGCCTTCTGCTTTCTAGGAAGTCCCATGTGTCCAGGGCTGGCCCTGGGAATTTAATCTGGGCAAGTGGGGTGTTCTTGATTGGAGTCCTGATAATTTACATGAATGAGAACTAGCTCAGAGGGTCTGGGCGGAGTGCTTCCTGCAGAACTGAACCAGGTATGTGAAGACACACCTGCAGCCACAGACAGATGACTCTTGAACCCAGAGCCCTTCGGATCTGACAACAGTTGGCATCGTCTCCTCCTGATTTCAGAGGATGTCAACATTTGTGATGCAGAGCATGGCCTTTGTCCAGTCCTCTTGTGCGGTTCCGGGGTCCCAGCTGTACGTGAACGGAGACCTGAGGCTGCAGCAGAGGCAGCCGCTAAGATACAGTGGCCTGGACGTCAGATACAATGTAAGGGTGCTGAGCGTCCAGCGCTGCAGCCTGTCTGCTTAGCGCCTGCTTTGAAGAGGGAGAAATGAAAGTTGGAAATGGGCATCTCCTGTGGGTAACACAGATAAAAATTCTTGCCATGAATTCTTTCAAAATATGGAGAAGGTCCACCTGTATTTACACCTATGCAGAGGCAGAAAAACATCTTTATTGATGAGCTAAATTGCTTTCCAAATGATCATGTAGAACATTTTAAAAATAATACTGGCCACCACTTATAGAATGTGCTATATGCCAGCCCTGAATTAAGAAGTTTACTGTTTAGTGCAGTGGGGTACACCCTGGCCCCAGCCCTCAGGAGGCTGAAGCAGGAGGACTTGAGACCAGCCTGGGCAGCATAGCAAGGCCTCAGTCATGAGCGGGGAAGGAAAGGCTTTCACACATCGTATTTGACCATTCCAGCAGTCTCCCTAGGTTGCTGGAATTGTCATTTCTCAGTTCTCGGCTGTCTGTCCGGCACTACCCTCTTCCTGGGTCCCAGCTCCTCTGGTCTCTTTGTTCTTTGATTCCACAAACAGCGCCTGCCTGGGGGCCATTCCCTTTGCCAGGTATCTGTAACTTACCAGGCCACTCATTCCGGTCCCTGAGCGAGGTCCTTCCCTGATCCTCTTCTCAGACAGGCTTCACTGCGTCTTCCAGCACTCCTCACGCAGATTTACCTCTCCTGCCAGCCCACACCTTAAAGAAAATTCGAAGGTGCGTTAGGTTTCCGTCTCAGTGATGAAAGTGCAGCTGTGCTGTGTGCTGTCAGCTCCGGCCAAGAGGTGCAGGAGGGGCCCCGGTCTCCAGTGCTCACCCCCGACCTCCTGCTGCTGTATCCCAGGTGTCTGTGATCAACGGGACCAGCCCCTTCGCCCAGGACTTCGACCTCACCCGCATTATGGCCGCCTACCAGGAAAGGAACGGTGAGGGGTGCCGAGGGCCCGTTTCTCTGCTGCTGACACGCTTGCTGGGTTTTGGTGGCAGTAGAAGCAGAGAACCCTTGTCATCATGTACATCTCAAAACCAGTGACATCTCAGCATTAGGATGGAGACAGGCTTCCCGGGAATTGTCCTTTTTGCTGTGTCTTGCTGCCCACCCCTGGCCTCCCGCTGACTCCAGTGGCCCAGCAGCTTCCTAGTCTCTTCCCTGCAGCCACCATTGGCCCTGATGGGCTTTTTTTGTTTTTTTCTTTTAACATCCACAAAAGACTAATTGATTTGTTCTCCTGCCATAGCAGCAACAGAAGTGAAAGCCTTTTCACTAGAAACAGAGGCTGCGAGGCCCCTAGAGAACAAAAGCACCCACGGTTCTGGCTGTAGGTGCAGGTCAGTGCTTGTAGTGCCAGGGCACAAGCCAGCCTTATGCTTGGCCCTGTGCTGGGCTGGGCTGGCCTGTTCAGTGGCCTGAAGCCTAGGTTTTCTCTGAAGGCATAGGGCATCGCACCTACATACCAAACTGAACATGCCCCATGTGACTGAAAGATACCAAAAGGGTTACTTGGCCACCAGACATATACACACGACACACAGACATCTCACAGGTAATAAGGCCTGCAATTGCTGTATTTCTTCTTTGTTTTTTTTTTGCTTTGTTTTGAGACCAGGCCTCATTATATAGTTCAGGTTGGTCTTGAACTCACTGTGGAGCTCCAGATGGCCTCAAACTCACAGTGGTGATTCTCCTGTCTCAGCCTCCCAAGGGGACAAGCTGTGTCCCCACACCCAGCTTCTTCCTAATTTTGTACAAAACACAGCAGCATTATTCCAATAATAGGACTTTTAAAGCAAAACAAAAAATCATTGGCCTACATATCACCTTTCCCTCCTCTGTTTCATTCACTCTTTCTCTGTATGAAGATTTTTTTTCATATAATAGTATAAGAACAGCTTGGGAGTTAACGTATTCATATTTATCTAATTATGTAACATGAAGAGTTCCCCCACACTACTATCAGAAAAGTTCTGATAGTATGTTTACTGGTACTACAGTACTTTAGTTATTCAGCAATTGTAGAACAGTTAGACTGTGTCCAAGTTTTTGGCAAATGTTTTAAAAAATAATGTCGGCAACAGTTTCTTACCCTTTTATTTCTTTGAACTCTAAAGTGTGGGAGGCCCCCAGACCCCCCAAAATCAAAGAACACCTATAGCCTAGTGCTCAGAGTGTCTCTGCCAGAGGGCCACCTGGATTAATGATTAATGCTTCTGTTGCAGTCACCACCATCCTGAGTGACCCCAACCCCATCTGGCTGGTGGGCAGGGCGGCAGAAGCTCCATTCGTGATTAATGCTGTCATCCGATACCCTGTGGAAGTCATCTCATATCCTTTGTGATAAAGAGCCAGCGCTGGCTCAGTTTCCACAAAGAAGAGAAGGGCTCTTCAGAGGTCCGCAGGAGGATCAGATGTGGCCAGCCTTAAGCTGGAAATTGTCCCCACACAAATGACCCTGTCTGCTGTTCATTATAGGAAAACAATTCATTTCCTGTTCCCATTTCCTCCTGTGCGGTTCTTCTATCCAGGTCAGGGTCATCCATATTTATGCCTGAATAATCTTGGTTATCCCTTTTATCTCCGGGTATTTGAGACATTCTTGCCATTTCCTGTCCAGGGTGACTCCTCTCCTTAACTGTCCTCACTTACCAGCCGGGATTCTGGGAGATGATCAAGTTTGCCTGGGTCCAGTACGTCAGCATCCTGCTCATATTCCTCTGGGTGTTCGGAAGAATCAAAATCTTCGTGTTTCAGAACCAAGTGGTGACCACTATCCCAGTGCCAGCCATGTCTCAGGGAGACTTGCACAAGGAGCACTTATCCTGAGAAGACCATTTCCGAGGGCTCAGCGGGCCGGCTTCCTCAGTGCTGTCTCCTGAAGGGCAGTGCACGCCTGCAGCCTTGTGTGGTTTTCCCCTTGGAAGCGCAGCTCTTCCCACTTTTGCTCTCCGTCCATGCCAACAAGAATCACTGGGCACTGGTCTGTGGGACTGTCAGAGGCCTCGGGAGGCTATAATTTGCTGTTTTTGTGTGTTTGCTGGCCTTGCCCTTGAATTTCAACAGAACCTTCCAGTCAGTTCAGGCATCTTGGAAAGAGTCCCATTTCTGGTCAAGCAGAGACGGTCGCTCTTTTGAACCAGAAGCACTGGGCATCTCTTCTCCCTATTGTAACCCACTTTGACTCTTTTCAGGCCTCTATTGATGAATATGCAAATCCCCAGCAATTTCTACTCCAGGGGATCTAGGGTTCCCATTCAGAGCTTTGATTTCCAGAATGAGGCTTTTAGCCAGCACCCAAGAGCAAGCCCTGCAAACCCATGGGGTGGGCAGGGGGCAACACCAGGACCGTCCACCTGCCCTCAGCCTGACAGACGCGGTCTGTCGCCAGCCCAGCTGAACAGCCCTCTGTGCCTGCCCCGCGGAGGCTGGCTCCTTGCCCTGCCTCTGGCCCTGGGTCTGCGCCCCTGGATCGGCAGCCTGAGTCAGACGCTCTGTTTCACTTGGTCCCTCAGCAGCGGTGGGTGGCGCAAGGGTTGTAACAACAGGTTCTTTCTCTCTGGCCCTCACCCAAAAGCTTGGACAGTCGCCACCCCCCACTTCGCAGCCCACCCCCTTCCTGAGAGGACGTGGGTGACAGAGGAGGCTTTGTTGGTGTTGGCTCCCCTGCCGGACAGCCACAGCATCCATTTGGAGGGCTCGGGAGAAGCCCAGATACTTGCGCTTCCCCTGAGTAAGAACAGGTTGCCCAACACAGGGGCAGCTTGGGGAGTGTCACGAGGAGCAGGCTGGACTGAAGAGGCTGCTGGGCTGGGCATTCAATCCAGCAGCCTGACGATCCTCTTGGCTGAGCTGGTGTCTGCAGGGTGGAGGTGGCTAGAAAGGGTCTTTGTTGGTGGAAGACATTGGTTATTGGTCAGAAATGCTTTTTTTTTTGGGGGGGGGGTACCAGGGATCAAACTCAGGACCTTGTGCTTGCCAGGCAGGCACTTAAGCCACTAAGCTAAATCCCCGGCAAGACATTGGTTATTAAATCCATTCCCCCCCTGGGCAAATGTGCAGCCTCCTGAGAGGCCAGATGGGTCTGCTGTATGGGTCCCAGCATGTCAACACACTGGAGAGACACACCCTTCTGAGACCCAGGCTTCCTGATCACTTACACTCTTTATGTGTGCCTCAGTTTACCTTCAGGATTCAGTTATTTCCAAAGTACCTTTTCTTTCATGAGGACTGAAATAAGAGTTTTTGTTTTGTTTTGAGACACGGTGTTGCTACATAATTCAAACTGGCCTCAAGCTCAGTATGTAGCCCAGGCTGATGGTGAACTCAAGGGGATCCTCCTGCCTCAGCCTCCCAGGTGCTGGGATTGCAAGCCTGCACCACCATGCCTGTCACCAAAATGAGTTTTAAAAATAATACCTTGAAATAAGCAGAAAAATTCCCTTCCACAGATTCCTCTGACTTCTTTTACTATTTAAGGATGTTTAGATACCTACTTTTTTTCCTTGAGATTTAAATGAAAACTTTTTGGGTTTAAATGTCTAGAAGATGAGATACAGAAAGATGGCTAAAGATTAACATTTGTTTTATATTTTTTCTTCTAATGCAAATTTGGTATAGAGAACCCATAATGTTTTATAACTTTCTAATTAAAATGCTCAAAATAGAAGGTTGTCTGTGTTTTCTGTTGCAGAGGAAAAGGCCTTGGCTCAAAGGGGGCAGGACGGGGCGGGCAGGGGTTGCACACTCTTCTCCGAGTTACTCACCGGCAGCTTGGCCCTGCCAGGGCTCTGCCAAGGACCTTGGAGCTTTTGTCAGCTCCCTGGCAGGGATCCCCTGGTCCAGCCCCAAGTAAATGTGAGTTTTCAGCAGAGCCCACAAAGCATGTGGGAGCCGCAGCCTGGAAAGTTACAGCTGTGTCTGGTGAACGTCAAATTATTTCCAGATCGGAGTTCGGTAGCTTCTGAACCTAAACCGCACGTCGGAGTTGTGAAAGGAAAAAAGGTAAGAAAAACACAGGACTGCATCCCCTGAATGGTAAGCCAGGCCTAAGTCAGGGTTTCAGGTAAGCATTCCGTGTTGCGGGTGTGCACAAAATTACCTAATTCTGTCAAATGATTCATCGAGTTTCTGGTTTGAATCAGGTGAGGCTGCTCATGCCCCCGTTTAGGTTCTATCAAGCAAGGCTATGAAAGCTCTTCCTTTTCCTTTTTTCCCCCTCTCATTTTCCCCCTCCCCTCTTCTCTTTCCTCTTCATGTTCCTGTGTATCCTTTTTTTTAAAAAGCGATATAAACTTAAAATCTTCACGCTGAGCTACATCCCCAACTCTTTTAAATTTGTTTTTGTTTTGAGATAACAGCATGCTAAGTGGCTAAACTGGCCCAGGCTAGTCATCAATTTAGAATCCTCCTGCCTCGGCCTCCCAGAGTGCTGGGGTGACAAGTCCGCACCAGCACGCCCCACCATATGGTTAAGGATCACAATCCACCCCGCCAAACCAGCCAGGAAAAACTGAACTGATTTTCACTGCCGGCAGTAGGGAGTTTCAGATCCAACCCCGATTACAAACCCCATCCTTCTCCGAACGCCTGCCTTCTGCCCTGTTGTTTGTAAGGGGGGGAAGTTTTCTGTTTTCTTTCTTGAATCTTAACCTGTAGCTACCGGAGCTGACCTCCAGCCTACCCTTCTGGGTGGATGCCAGCGCCGGGAGGCCCGGGAAGAGGGGCTGCGTGCACCTGGCCTCCCGGCCGCTCCCCCTCAGCTGCTGCGCCCCGAGGCGGCGCGGGTCCCCCGCATCCAGGTGCCCGGTCGAGGCCGAGGACCTGGGACGCGGTCAGGAGCCCAGAAGCCGCGCGGCGAGGATGCCGCCACCAGCGAGGAGGGGCAAGGCGAAGCCTCAGCTGCCCGCACAAGGGTCTTTTGTCCTCCCAGGAGCGCGCGCCCACTGCGGAGCGAAGGCGGGGACAGCTCGGGGTGGGCCCGCGGGGAGAAGCCCGGGCCGCAGCCCTGCGCCCACCTGCGCGCCTGCGAGGGGACCCCGAGGCCCGGGCCGCCCCGCCCTCCCCCGAGGCGTGGCCCCACCGAGGGCCCGGCAGCCCCTTCCTTCCTGCGCGGGCTCCCGCGGCCGGCGGGCACCGCAGCCACGTCGGGAGGGCCGCGCCTGTGCGCCCGGAGCGGACCGCGCAGGTAGACGGGGCGCGGCGCGGCGTGCGGGGGTCGGGGCCACCTCGGGAAGAAGCCCGGGCGCCGCCCCCCGAGGGCGCCTCTCTCTCCCGGGGGTTCCCTCAGCCTGGGGCGGCCGGGCGCCTCCAACGTCTTGGTATTTACGCCCGGCCACTTAGGGTCACTCCGTTGTCGCCGCTGCCCTTGATGAGCCACAGGACCAAACCGGGCCGTGAGGGTCTCCAGGGAAGAGACGCAGCTGGTCGCGGGGAGCCGGACCGTGCAGGGCTGCTCCCGCGCCAAGTCCCGGGACACCACGCAGGAGGTCCCGCCCGGGCGCAAGGGGAGGCTCGCGCATCCTGCAGTCGGCGTGGGGTCAGTGGGGAGCAGCGAGTGTGACCCGTCCGTGCGCGACGTGGGGGACGCGTCTCCGCGGTCGCGGGATGCTTTATGGCTAGAAACTTCACTTTTCCAAAGGCGTGGCTTTCAAAAGCTCCCGATGAAGCCCACAGGACTTTGGACGAGAGGGAGTTTGATGAGTGAATCTGAGAACCAGTCCCAAACGAATATCGAGTCCGGGCAGCCACGCTTCAGGCTGCGTGACCTTGAGCAACTGGTTGCGCCTCTCTGGGCCGCAGTGTGTGTTTACTCTCCTGTCTCTGCCCTCTTAAATCAGACACAAGAAAATCGAGAGTCCAGTTTAATCCCATGTTTACGAATGGGAAGGGAGGGTTGGGGGATTTCGGGCAGCAGTACAGTGCTTTGCCTAACCTATGCAAGGCCCTGGGTTCAAAGAAAAGAACAGAGGAGCAGGAAGGGCTTGGGGGACCTAAAGCCAGGAAATGAGAGTGTCACCTGCCAGGACTACTGGGAAGAGTACACTTGCAGCCCTGGCTTTGGGCCTCCCCAGCCTGGTGCGGGTGGTTACAGCCTCATTTTACTCAGAAGGTAAAAATGAGGCCCATGGAGGTTGAGTGACACTCAACTGACACTCAACTCCAAATTACAGAGCACACACTAGTTAGGGAGACAGGATTTGAACCCCGTCCACCATTTCCCATTGTCTTCTGCTTGTGTGTGCCTGGTTTCTTCTGCCGCTAGGATAGTGGGTCCTGCAGAATCTGGTGGGCCGGTGACTTTGGGTTTTCTTAATGCCCAGGCTTGCCTGTAGATTCATACAGTGTGAACTGGAAGATTCCTAGACCAGTACAAGTACACCAGTATGGGTCAGGATTTGTTCTAAGTGATTTACTGCAAATATTAAAATTTTCCATCTTCAGATCAAGCCCATAAGTTGGGTTGTATTTCCTCATATAGGTTAATTAAGCAACTTGCCTAAGATCACACAAAAAGATCAAATGGTTTACGCCAGCAACCACTTCGCTATACCCATTCCCCCTAACAAGAAGGACAGGTCCTGCTTTTAGTCCCTCAGATGGACATAGTTAACAAAAATCATGGACAGTTATCATAGCAGCATTCAGTGCCACCTAATGCTGAGTCCAACCTGAGATTTCTCTGATTATCTCTGCGATATCTCCATGCAGTTGGTTTGGTCAAGTCGGATTCAGACAACGGCTATGTGTAGCACTTCACAGGTCCATGTTTTGAATTGTTCTAAAATGATCTCTTCCTTTTTCTATGTAATTGACTTGTACGAATGATTTACTTTTAAAATATAATTAAAAGTAAGAGGTTAGCAAGATAAAGCAGAGAACATCCTAGATTATCTCTGTAGTACGAGAGTTTCATCAGTACCTAGGGCAACTCAGGAATGTCCTACACACACAATCCCTACCCTTTATCCTGTGCGTGCTGCTACCGAGAAGCAAGAACCTTTTGAGTTTCCTGCCTCCCCACTGTAGGAGTCTGTAGCTTACACCACATTCAGCACAGTGGAAAGTGCACTTTGAAAATCCCTGCGATATTAAGATAGATATTTTTTGGTTTTCATCTTTTGTTCCTGGTTTATAATTCCTTCTCACAGCACATCATAGAAGCTGGAATTTCTCTTCCCAAGACAGGTAATGGAAACGTTAATTTTCTGTGTCTCTTGGATCCACTGGCTGTAATGAAATTGATTGACCTACCTTATCTGATAGAGTATAACACCCCTGTTCCAGAAGGGGTCCTGCCCTGTACCCTCGGGGAAGGAATGCTGCACAGAGTGGCCCAAAAGAATCTAAACAGACAGGCCTTGCTGGGTTTCTCCACCCGGTCTGTTAGCACAGACCTGGCGGTGCTGAGAGGCGGCACCCCCAGAGAGGTCATGGAAGCCCATTACCCCTTCCCTCGTCCCCCTCATCCTTATCTGCACCCTTTGTAATAAACCAGCAAATGTGTTCCAAGATAGCTGCATGCTGTTCAGGCAAATTAGTTGAACAAGATGATTGTGGAAACCTCAATTTATAGGTGGTTGGCCACTAAAACAATTTGGGGCAAGTAAGTGGCACGGGGACGTCTTTGGGGACTGACTGAGTACTCAGCCTATGGGACATAGTGCTATCTCCAGGGAGGAGGCAGCAGAACTGAACTGAACTGGCGGCACTCCATTGGTGCAGAACTGAACGATTCCCTGCTAGTGGGGAGAAGTCTCTGTAGTTTTTGAGCTTACTAAAGCCTGTTGCAGTGACAGTGGTTCAAGAGTAGAGGAGAAAATTGAACAGAATCCCCAAAGCCTCGAGCAGGGAAAGGGGTTTGCGTATTGGTGCCTGCTCCCGGATGCCCTGGGGTGGCTTCAAGTCAGGGAGTCTCGAGTGCCCTTGCCAGGCTGATTTGAATCCATTGCCCAATAGACCTCAAGGCAGGGCTGCTTCCTCCAAGGCCACGTCATCAGGACTCGCAGAGACCACAGGTGACTCCTGCCACAGCCTGGCCCAGCCACAGTCCTGAGCCTGAGGGTGGGTTTGGGGACTTTGACTTCTTGCTTTGCAAAGGAGATAATTGTTGGTCCTGAACCCCTGGTCTTAATCTACCAACTGGGTTCTAGGGTCAGCTGGAAGATGGATTTTGGGGTACCTCTCCCTACAATGAAAGCTGGGGAGCCCCCTTTATTTTTAGGGCTAGAGTTGGAGCCCAAGGCCTACTTCATGGTAGATCAGTGTTCTATCATTGAGCTACATCCCCAGCCTTTTTTTATATTTGGAGACAAGGTCTCAGTAAGTTATCCAGGCTGGGCTGACCCTCCAATCCTCCTGCCTCAGCCTCTCAGAGTGTTGGGATTATTGATGCGTGCCACCACACCTGGCTCCTGGCCCTTTTTATTTTATCTGGAGATGGGGTTTTGCTGAGTTGTCCAGGATGGCCTCAAACTTGCCATCCTCCTGCCTCAGCCTCCTGCGTAGTTGAGATTATAGGCTTGCACTACCACACCTAAGTCTATGGTTACTAAGTAATAAAAGCCTGCTCTAGACTATCAGAAAGATGGAGCGATGTATTCACGAGAGTAGGAGACACCAGCAACCTGGCTGTGAAGACATAAACACTAATTAATGTTCAGGGTGTATCCTTCCACATTCTTTCTCCAGGTACTTGTGTATTTTTTAAAAACAGCTTTATTTGTTTTTTGTTTTTGAGACAGGGTTTCTCTATGTTGTAACCCAGGCTGGCCTTGAATTCATTATGTAGCCCAGGCTACAACTTCTGGCAAACCTCAAACTTCTGGCAGTCTTTATGCCTCGGCCTCCCATATATTGGGGTTACAGGCATGTGCTAACATGGCCCCCAAAATAGCTTTATTAAGGTAGAATTCTTGTCCCTTGAAGTTCATTCTTTTGAGGTATACAGCTCCTTGGTTTATAACATATCCTATACCACACACCAATCACCACAAGCTTCGTCTGTATTGAGCCTTTTTTTTTTTTTTTTTTTTTGGCTTTTCGAGACAGATCTCACTATGCATTTCTGACTGGCTTTGAACTCACTTTGTAGTCAGGCTGGTCTCAACTCTTGGCAACCCTCCTGCCTCAGCCTGCTGAGTGCTGGGATTACAGGTGTGCGCCACCAGGCCCAGTTATATTGAGCTTTATCTGCATCAGTCCTTTGCTCTTTTATATCACTGGGGAGCATCCTACTGTGTAGCAGTTGGTGCCACATTTTGTTGACCCCTTTGTTAACTGGCAGGCACTGGGATGTTTCCGCTTTGATGCTGTTATAAATAATGCTGCTATGAAAAGCCATGGACAAGCTTCGTTTTCTTGGGTGTACAGCTAGGACCTGAATGGCTGCACCCTCTCGTGGCTCTGTGTTTAGTCTTTTAGGGAATCTCCGGGCTGGTTCTCACAGCAGCTGCCCCACCTTACATCCCCACTCACGGTGTGTGAGGGCGCCAGTTTCTCTTTTCACTAACACTTGTCATTCTCCAAATTTCCCTTTTCTTCTTCCTCTCTTTTTCCTCCTCCCCCTCTCCTTTTCTTCTCTTTCCCTTTCCCTCCTCCTCCTCCTCAGCCTTAATCCTTCCCTCCTCTCCTTCTTCCTCCCCCCCTTCTCTCCAGCTGGCGGCTGTCCCTGGAGTCCTGGGATGTCATTATAATTTTTTTTCTTTTGGTTTTTGGTTTTTTGAGCAGAGTCTCACTGTGCAGTTCAGGCTGGTCTCAAACTCTCAGCCATCTTCCTGCCTCAGCCTCCCGAAGCACTGAGAGTACAGGTGTGCGCTACCATGTGCAGTTGTACCTTCTTGCTCTGTCATAAACACTCGTCTTCCTCCTTGCTTCCCGCCCTGGTTTCTTCTCTCCGTTCTCTTTTCTCCTCCCCTCCTCTTTTTTTCCCTCCTTTTCATCCTCCTGAACAAAGGTACCAAGCCCCAGTGGAGCCATTTTCTCCTCTGAGTCTCTTCTGGAGTTTGCTCATTCTTCATGCATACGCTGTGTCCAGCCTTCGGGGTTCCAGAATGGGATGGCCTCCAGCTGACACCAGACTGAGAGGAATCCGAGCCTGGGATTTGTAGCTCAGGTCACATTTCACTCTCTTGGATTCCATGCCAGGCCCGGGACAGGCTGGCGACAGGCGCTGCAGAGCAGAAGGCAGACAGAGCGGTGGACGGAGCTGGCTGGAAGGAAGTGGATGCTGTCCAGCGGGTCAGGGCTCGGGGCTGCAGCCAGGCACCTCCGTCCCATGCCCTGGACCTCAGGACTGACCAGCCAGGCAGAGCAGTCACTCCTTTTTACAGCTCTCAGGCCAACAATGAGAAGGGATGTTTGGAAAATTGTTCAACACATTCACGATGGAGCTGTGATTCCCGTCTCACTGCAGAGCAGCTTGAACCACTGTGGTACATGCATGACTGTCTCGTCGGATGTCCTTTTAATCAAAAAGTGTTGAGATCCATTTGTACCACCGTGATCCAAGCCACCTGATGGGACCGTCATGCAGGTACCGCCGTGGTTCAAGCCAGCAGGAAGTGAAGGTCCTCAGTAGAAAGAAAGGTAGAAAAAGTGGGAAGTTAGTTACTCCTTCTGGGTTTGGTCATGCGGTACGAACCTAATTTCCAAATTTTTGTTTGCCAAATATTTGTTTGTCTGTGCACTACAGATTGAACCTAAGGCCTTTTTTTCTTGTTTTGTTTTATTTTTGAGATAGTATCTCCCTAAGTTGCCCAAGCTGGATGCCACCATGACCAGCTTAGCAAATATTTTTTAATGTCATCTACTCGTTCAGTCTTTAGGATATTTCCAGACATGATACTGTACTATTCAAGTTTCCTAAATGTTTACTGAAGTATAACATGTATTAGAAAAAAAGGCACAGATTGCTGGACATGATAGCACACACCTGCAATCCCAACTACCAAGCAGGCTGAGGCAGAAGGCTTGTGATTAATTTATGAGACCCTATCTCAAAGTTACATCTTGAGGCTGACAATGTACAATGTATCATTGTTACCCCCTGATTGACATGTTTTGAAATTTTGTTTTAGTTTTTTCTTCTTTTTTTTTCTTTGAAATAAAATGGATTTGAAAAAAAGAAAAAAACTTTAAAAATCTTATTGTGGTTTCTGAGACAGGGTCTTGCTATGCATGCAGTTCAGGCTGGCCTTGAGTTCACTTTGGAGCTCAGGTTGGTCTCAAACTTGCAACGATCCTCCTGCCTCAGCCTCCTAAGTGCTGGGATTACAGAAGTGAGCCACCAGCCCACCAAAAAAATTAAATTTGAAAGGGCTAGGATGTAGCTGAGTAGTCCCTGAATTCAACCACAATACCACACAAAAAAAGAAAAGAGTACAGTCTGATAAATGTTCACAGACTGGACCTACCCGTATGATTACCTGAGAAACATCCTCACCCATGCTAAGAGTTCTGCCCTCGTTCCCTCCAGCTCTGCTCCTCTTCACCAACCAAGAGTGTCCATCATCTGATGAGAGCTCCTGATTATGACTCATTCTGGCTTAAGCAAAAAGAGTATTTTTCCCCAGTGTGAGAAGTCCAGTGTGAATTTTGGACAGCTGGATCCAGATGCTTAGAAAATGCTGTCACTTGCTTGTGTTCTCTGTCTGTCTTTCTGTGTGTCTCTAGGTTTTCTTGAGACAGGCTCTTGCTCTAATTCAGGTTGGCTTTGTATTCACTATGTAGCCCATGCTGGTCTCAAACTTGCAGCAGTCCTCCTGCCTCAGCCTCACTGCTGGGACTACAGGCATGCACTGCGGCACCAGGCTCTCTGATTCTCCTGTGTGGGGTTTATACTCACGTAGTTTCCTCCTTCCCTTCAGACCTATGAAATTTCTCCAACTGGAGTTTGGCAGGTGTCCCATTCCCGAGCCAGTGGTGGCACAGAGAGTTACAGGAGCAGAGTGTGCAGATGCGGTAGATGAGTCTTGGGACCTTAGTAACCTTCCACACCATAGGCACTTTGGGTATGAGGTGCTTCCCCAGGGGGAAATCTTGAGCTGTTTTGGAAGGGGAGACAGTTGAGTAGATACAGTCATGTGTAGTGTACCTGTGCAGGCCCGGCCCCACCAGGTTGCCTAAGACCACACCCTCACATCATGCATGGACAGGAGGAAGGGGATGCAAAGTGTAACACAGGCCAGGGTGGTCCGTGTCCTGATCCTCAGGCTCCAAGGCTGCTGGCGGGAACCATGGGAAGTGAGGAGAAAAGCGAGCAGAGTGGCATGATGGGATGTGTGGCATGGGAAGCGCTGGATGTGCTGTGCAGGGTGTGTAGCCAGCCAGGGTGGGGGCCTGCTGGACTCCAGGAATGAGGTCCGAATATGGGCCCTGCCAGGACCCTCCCTTGGCTGGATGTGTGCGCCATGCATTGGGACCATCACCAGGTCCTCTAACCATCATGTCCCCAACTAGATTGTCTGCTTGGCCAGGATACAGACGCCCCTGCATTAAACCTCCTGAACTGAACTTTCTTTTCCATCTTTTGTCCATCATTTATCTTTTTTTGTTCTTTTGGGGTTTTTTTCCTCCTTATATGAGGGCCAAAGGGAGCACTGAATTCAGTGCTACCCACAGGTATTCTCTCCCTCTCTGTCTATCTCTGTCTGTGTGTCTGTCTGTCTGTCTGTCTCTCTCTTTCTGTATCCCAGGCTGACCTCAAACTTACAGCAGTCCTCCTGCCTCAGCTTTCAGAGTTCTGGGATTACAGACATGCACCACACATGGCCTCCCCACAGATTCTTTAGCACTGAGCTACACTCTCAGCCCTTTTATATTTTTTTGAGTCACAGTCTCATGAAATTGCTCTTGGTGACCTTCAGTTTGCAATCCTGCTGACTCAGCCTCCCAAGGAGCTGGGAATACAGGTGCGCACCACCGTGCCCAGTGTTTGTGGTACTTTCTCTATTTCCTCAGTTTTATCCTTCATAGTGCATCCTACAGTTTTACTATCTTGGGCAATTTCACTCCAAGGAAATCAAAGACTTTTTTTCTAAGCAAGGAAATGCACTTAGAAGTACATTATGTACTTCGTCTGTGAACTGTTTTATACAATCATAAACTGTGAATTCTGAATATTGATTTAACCAAAAATTATATAAGGCTTTTGAGAGGAGAAATCATGAGTCATTTTTTAAAATGCCATAAATTGTAACAGTAACCATTTAAGCATTTTTTTTGGTCTTTTTTTAGAAATAGGAAAGTTATGGCAACCCATTTAGGAATCCTCCTATCTCTCAGGAGCTACTTCTATACCCCATTTCTAGTCTCTATTTCTTTTCTCCAATAAAGTTTTCTCCTTAAAAAAAATGGAAAAATTAGCAAAGAAATAACTAACAAATTTAACACCACTTGTCTCTTGAGATGTAGAATTCCAGAGCAAGAAAATCACTTATAGCCAGGTGGCTCATACCTGTAATTCTAGCACTGTGAGGCAGGAGGATCACAAATTCCAGCCCATTTTGTGCAATTTAACTGAAACTCTGCCTCAAAACAAAACAAAACAAAAGCACACACCCCACACCCCACCCCCACCCCCCCACCCCCGCCCCAAGAAGTAAAAGGTAGGATGTGGCTGAATGGAAATACCTGGAGATCCAATTTCAGCACTGAAGAAGGAATGCCTCTCACGTCACAGGAGATTTATGACCATCATTTCACTTTTTAAACGAGGCACACTTAAGCTGGGTTTGAGGCTACACACCTGTAGTCCCAGTGGTGTGGAAAGCTGTGGCAGGAGGAGTGCAAATCTGAGCCCAGCCTGAGCAATTTAGCAAAGACTCTGCCTCAAAATTAAAAATAAAGGGGGCTGGGAATTTAGCTCAGCGGCATAAGCACCTGCCTTACAAGCAAGGTGGTCGTGAGTTCGATCCCTGGTACCAATAAAAATGAAACAGACCAAAAAAAAAATAAATAAATAAAAATAAAACAGGGCTGGAGATGTAGCTCACTGGGGAGGTCCTCGGTTAAATTCCCAGTACTAAATAAACAAAGATACATTTTAAAATGTTTAGTTGTTTTTAAATAAGTTTAAATTTATGTGAGTCAAAATTCAAAATATGGTGGCACAGTTTTGAAATCCTAGCACTTAGGCAAGGCATTGTAGGCACGCCTATAATCCCAGAATTTGGAAGGCTGAGGCAGGAGGATTGCCACCATTTGAGGCCAGCCTGGGCCACATAGTGAGTTCAAAACCAACCTGAACTACATAGACGCTATCTCAAAAAAAAAAAAAAAAAAAAAAAAGAAAAGCATTTATAGAGAAAGGAGCTAGAATTTTTAGGATGGAAGATTTCACCTTACAAAGATGGCAGAGAGCCCAGAGAGGGGGCAAAACTCTGGCTCTCGGTTTGTTCATTTGTTTTGTAGAATTGGGGCTCATCGAGCACAGGGCCTCACATATCCTATGTAAGTGCCTGACCACAGAGCTACATTCCCAGCCCCAGCCCTATACTCAGCCCTCACCCTTGCTGACTGTGTATTGGTGTCTCGGAGCTCCTTCACTTCAATGAAGACAGAGACAATAAACCTAAGAGCACTGGGAAGATAAAGTCCCCCGGAAAGGTAGACATCATGACCACAGTGGCCCCCAGCCCAGTCTTCCTAGCCTTGGACTCCCAGGCAGTCGGCCTGCAGGCAGCATGCAGGGTTCCTTCTTGGAAATCACCCAGTGAGGACGTGGCCTTCCTAGACAGCCCATGTGACATGTGACATGTCAATCTCCTTCCTAGTTCTTGAGTTTCAGCATAGGATCAGATAGCAGCTCTTGCAGTGCAGGAGTCACTTTAGACCTCTGCTTTCCTGGAACACAGGTCGTAAACACTCTCCACGCCTTGAGTCCTTCAGCTGAAATGTGGAGATCACAGCATGCACCTCATGCTGCTGAGCTTGAGTCACAGAGTGGACATTAAGTTACAGAGCACCTGCTGGCAACTGAGCCACCCCTTTCCTGGAGCCTCCTTCTTAGGGGAGCCCCCAGCCAGCAGCCCAAGAGTGTTGGCATTGCACGGAGGGATAGGTGCCGCTCTCTGTGTCTTTGGGTTTTCCAAGATTTTGAGTGGGATCCAGGAAGCAGCTCGATAGCCAGCAGGTGACAGCTGTTGGGCGTCCTCTGCCAGCTCCTGTGGCCTCCTGATGAAGGGAAGGAGCAGAGATGGGGTCTGAGAATCATTGCAACTGCAGCTTCTCTAAGTGGTGGTGTGGAGAGGGCAGCAGGCCGGAAGGGAAGGAAAAGCAAGGGTCAAATGTCCAGGCACCTCCCTTCCAAAGTCACCCAGCCCAGGGATAAGGGCAAGAGCGACAGGCGCATAGAGGGAAAAAATCTGGGACCTTGAGGTGCTCCTTCCAGCTATGGGACAAGTGGGATGGCTTAACGATCCACCAAAGGACACTGGGATGGCCGTGCTCTAGAGGTGGCTATGGGGTGTCTCATCTAGGCAGGGCCCTCCATGACAAGGGGCTTCCTCCCCTCCAGACGAAGCTGGAGACTGGAACAGTAAAGCACTGCAGGACTGGGCCATGCAAGCCACTTTACCCAGCCCTCTCCTCACCAGGGTCTGCAGCATTGTCCCCCAGGAGGGCACAATGCTACCTACCATCCTTGCTTTACAAAGGAAGACACTGGGCGTGGGTGTCTGTAATTCCAGCACTCAAAGGCTGAGACTGGAGTACTGCCCTGAGTTTATAGCCAGCCTTGGCCTTACCAAGACCTTATGTCAACAAAAAAAAAACAAATGAACCCTTGGAAAAGTCTAGTCACCCACATCTCATAGCTCCTAAGTAACAGCGCTGGAGCTTAATACCAGCGCTGTCTCCTCCAACCCTCAGGAGAGGCTGTCAGTTCACACCCATTCAGAAAATACTCAGTTCCCTTCCCAGCCTGGGAGTTCCCTTCCTGTGTGCAGGGCCACCTCCCCCAGAGGCTCTGAGCCAGCCTCCCTCCTGTTCTGTCAGCCGAGGTGGCTCTAGGCATCTCTATGGCCTTGTGGTCAGCAGCCTGGATGGTAGTGAGTACCTGCAGCAGGGGAAGGGAGCGGCCCACGGAGGAGCCCTGCTCTGCTGCCCCTCCTAACTGGTCACTCCCGGAGCACACCCCTCTGGCGCTCAGGTTGTCTTCAGCAATTCACTGCTTACAGTGATAGCAACTGTTTGTGGTCTCTGTTTCATTTATTTTTACCTTTTTCTCTAGTGCTAGAAATTGATAGTAGGGCGTCCGCCCAAATGTCCATCAACTGAGGAATGCATTTTTAAAAATGTGGTATTTTTATACAATGGAGTACTAAGCTATGAAGAAGAGTAACCTAGAGACTTTTATAGGTAAATGGATGCAAATAGAAACCATACTCATATAAGTGAAATAAATTGGACTTGCATATATAAACACCATATTTCTCACTAGTGTAAGAAACAAAGAATAAATGAGATCCAAAAGTTACAATAGATATAGTGAAAGGGAAAGAAACTGCTTAAAGGGAAATTATATTGTTTGATCAATTTTGCATGCCTGTATCTGGTAACCTGAGCAACTATTTTGAAGATAACGATATGTACTGTAACAACTGTTAAATTCCTATCATCTTGGTTTCAAATCTTATATTGCTATTATGTTGTTATCATTTTGCTTTTGTTGTTTTTTGTTTGTTTGCTTTTTGATTTTTCTTTTTTCTCTTGGAAAAAAACAGTTATAGAGGTTACTACATGCTTCCTTTTTCCATGCTTCTGCCAGGCTTTCCCTAAATCCTATGATCCAGGTCCTAGTTTTAATCAGCTTTTTCAGATGAGTAAACTGATCACAGATTGTTTCATGCAAGATCACAGGACAGGAAGTGGAAGAGGCCAGATTCAATCTGAAGGAGGCTGGTCATACTCTGGCACAGTCAGATGTCACATTGTGACATGCTCTTAATGGCTTAGCAAAAAGTGTCTCCCTAAGTCAGGCGTGGTGGTGTACCCCTGTAATCCCAACACTCAGGGGGCTGAGGCAGAAGGATCCTTGTGAGTTTGAGACCAGCTTGGGTTACAAAGTGAGCTCAAGGCCAGCCTGAACTGTATAGTGAGACCCTGTCTCAAAAAGACACATACATGGGCTGGGGATTTAGCTCAGCAGCATAAGCGCCTGCCTTGCAAGTGTATGTTCGTGAGTTCAATCCCCGGTACCGATAAAAAAAAAAAAAAAAAAAGACAAAAAAAAATTAAAACACACACACACACACACACACACAAAATATCTCCCTAAAGTGAATTCTTAAGCAAAAAGTAGGAATTCTGTTTAAAAAAAAAAACAAAACATTTCCTACTCCCAACCAGATGTGGTGGTACACACCTGTAACCTCAGCACCTAAAAGGCTGAAGCAGGAAAATCACCAGGAGTTTGAGACCAGCCTGGGCTACATAGTGAACTCAAGGCCAGCCTGAACTTCATAGGGGACCCTGTCTCTGGGGTGAAAAAACAACCCTTCAAAATGAACTAGACACACAAGTTTAAATATGGCATGTTTTCTCTTAGTTGAGAATCCCACAGTGTAAATAAGAACAAAGTAAGATAGGTAATAGGAAACAGGAATATAGATCTTTTGTAAATGTCACGGGGCCAAGAGATAGGAGGAGGAGAAAAGGTGGAAAGAGGCCACAAAATGAATATGTGTTTTGTACATATATGAATTTCCATGATGAATGTAATCATTATGTACTGCAGACATGGAATAATAAAAATAAAAACTGTTTTCCTCCCCATTCAGATAGGTAGATGGGTAGGTGGATGGATAAACAGATTGATTGCCTACAGTACCCTTGATGTGTGCTATCAGCATATGGTACCATCTGTCTCAAGTCTGAGCTTCACATTCCTGGAGTGTGCCTGGCTTAGGCCTTGACACCTGGTTAGGTTGCATGGTCAGGCCTGGGCAGTAGCCATCCAGACATGAGACCCTGTTAAGGTTTGAGTCTGGGTGTCCCCCCAAAGCCTCATGCAGGTTGCGCTTCTAGAGTTTGTGACTGACTCATGATCCAGTGCTGGGATCATGGGTGAAAGTGCTACATCCCAGTAGGTGTGACCTACATACAATATAAGGAACAGAAGTCTTTTCTCCTCTCTCCCCCACTTTTGCTCTTGTTGCTTGTGCTCTTTTCTGCTGCCATGAACTGGTGCCCTCTGCCATGTGCCTTGGAGCCAGCTGATTATGGACTGGAACCTCCACAAACTGTGAGCTAAATAAATCCTTCCTTAGCTTTGGGGGTTGGGTAATTTGTCTCAGCAACATGAGAAAATTAACCAACACAGACCCCTAACCTTGGTGCTGTCCCCTGGCAGGCCCTGGTCAGAGGCGGCATGCGGCTTCCACGTGTCTCCAGCTCTGCAGTGACCGTGCTCCTGCTGGCCCAAACCTGCCTGCTGCTCTTCCTGTACTCGCGGCCAGGACCCTCGTCCCCAGCCAGCAGCGAGGAGCGTGTGCACGTGTTGGTGCTGTCCTCGTGGCGCTCGGGCTCATCATTCCTGGGCCAGCTCTTCAGCCAGCACCCGAACGTCTTCTACCTGATGGAGCCCGCGTGGCACGTGTGGACTGCCCTGTCGCGGGGCAGTGCGCCTGCACTGCACATGGCCGTGCGCGACCTGGTGCGCTCTGTGTTTCTGTGTGACATGGACGTGTTCGATGCCTACCTGCCGTGGCGCCGCAACCTGTCCGACCTCTTCCAGTGGGCGGTGAGCCGGGCGCTGTGTTCTCCGCCCGCCTGCAGCGCTTTCAGCCGCGATGCCATCAGCAACGAGGCGGTGTGCGAGCCGCTGTGCGCGCGGCGGCCCTTCAGCCTGGTGCAGGAGGCCTGCCGCTCCTACAGCCACGTGGTGCTCAAGGAGGTGCGCTTCTTCAACCTGCAGGTGCTCTACCCGCTGCTCACAGACCCTCTGCTCAACCTGCGCATCGTGCACCTGGTGCGTGACCCGCGCGCTGTGCTGCGCTCCCGGGAGCTGACGGCCAAGGCGCTGGCACGTGACAACGGCATCGTGCTGGGCACCAACGGCACGTGGGTGGAGGCCGACCCCCGCCTGCGCGTGGTGAGCGAGGTGTGCCGCAGCCACGTCCGCATCGCGGAGGCCGCGCTGAGCAAGCCGCCGCCCTTCCTCCGGGGCCGCTACCTCCTGGTGCGCTTCGAGGACCTGGCTCAGAACCCACTGCCCGAGATCCGAGCGCTCTACGCCTTCGCCGGCCTCAACCTCACACCGCAGCTTGAGGCTTGGATCCTCAACATCACGCACGGGGTGGGAACCGGGGCACCCCGCGAGGCCTTCAAAACCACCTCCAGGGATGCGTTAAACGTGTCCCAGGCCTGGCGTCATGCGTTGCCCTTCTCCAAGATTCGCCGCGTACAGAAGCTGTGCGCTGGTGCCCTGCGGCTGCTGCGTTACAGGCCAGTGTTCTCCTTAGACGAGCAGCGGGACCTCAGCCTGGACTTGGTGCTGCCCCGAAGCCCAGGCAGCTTCCAGTGGACATCGTCCACCAAGGCACAGCCCAGGCCTTAGCAAGGGCCCCAATGGTGGCTCATGAGGAGAGTGTGATGGGGGTCGGGGGCAGGGCACATGAGGAAGCCAACCAGCCAGCAGGGGACCAGAGTGTAAAGATTCTCTTGTGCCAAGAAAGGGCTGAGCCCCCAGATTCCACATTTCTTTCCCTCCGGAGCCTTGGCTCTCTTTTGCACCCTGTTTGGGAGCTGGCTCAGCATCGAGTACGTTCTTCACAGAAAGCCAAACCCTTGCCCCATTTCCTCTGGGCACAGAGGTCCTCAGTTCCTCAAGCATTTCTTTCCCCTTAACTCTGGCCTCCCTTGGGATGCACCATGCAGGGACTGAGAAGGTGTTCTAGCCACGGCTACGGGCAGAGGGCTCCTGCACTTCTGCGGTGAACTGGCCTCTGAAGTTGTCCTGTCTCCTTCTCCTTTGGAATCCTGGATTTGGTTCCACCCATGCGCCATTGATGCGGTGTTTGGTTAGACTCACCTGCAGCTTCAGTGAGAAATCCCAAGAGATGCCCCTGTCTTTGGTCACCCATTAGCCTCTGCCCCACCTCTCAGCAGCCCTCACGTCCCCATCACTCTACCCAGCTATGAGGAACCTAGCCTCGAACCTCACCAATCTTCCATTTGTCTTGACGGGGAAAATCCTACTTAGGGAAATAAACAATAATTGATCCATGTGATAAAGATTAGTTTCCAGCCTGTAAAATTTACCAAGCAAAGCTCCAAAGAGCAGGGACTTATGCATCACCCATGAAAAGGGTGATGAAGGAAGAAAAAATTTTTGTCCTGGGTGTGTGTGTATGAGGGGGAAGGATGACTCAGCAGAGACCTGTCTCTAGTAGAAGGGTGGACTTGTCCCATTTGGGTTGCCTTAGGGAAGAGCAGGTGGCTTCACAGCTGGGGGGTACAGCTGTCTGGGTCCAGAGCAGGCTGGATACCCCTGGGAGGAGGAAGGGAGGGCCAGGCTGGGCTGCAAGCCAGACTTGAGGGGAGCAGAGTGCAAGGTTGGTTGGCAGCAGGAGTGGTGCCCAGAGGGCAGGCTGGGCCCATCACAGGGTGGATGAAACCGATCAGCCTGGTAAGGAGGTTGAAGACAAAAGGCTTTGGAAGAGAAAGGAGTAAAATACCTGCTGCAAGCCACAGCACCCTGCCAAAGGCCTACTAAGGGATTCTAGGCATACAGAGGGCTTAGCCCTGAGCTCAGGAGATTAGGAGCCACAGCAGATGCTCAGTAAAAATACTGACAGAATGCCACATGTGGTGGTGCATGCCTGTAAACCCAGCACTTGGGAGACTGAGGCAAGATTGTCGTAAGTTTGAGGCTTGTCTGGGCTACATAGTATGATCTTATCTCAAAAAAAATGTTTGCAGAACCTCTGGGAAAGACGAGGAAGCAGATATGAGTCCATACAAGAGCACCCCAAATCACACTGGACTGCACAGCTGTCTGGGGGCTATTAAAAGTTGCTAGCATATGTGAGCATGGTGGCTCCACCTGTAATCCCAGCACTCAGGAGGCTGAGGCAGGAGGATCATTTCGAGTTCAAGATCAGTCTGGGCTACCAAGTGAGCTCAGGTCCAGCCTGAACTGCATAGTGAGACCCTGTCTCAAAAAGAAAAAAAAAAAAAAATTGCTACCAGTCATTGTTGCCATCGGTTGCCAGGAGGGATTCTGGTGATCACTGACTTCTGATTGTCAGCCCTGGTGTGACTTTGGATGGGTGAGGCAGTGGCCAATCTGGCATTTTCTGCTTCTTTCCTTGGAGGGAGCAGAGATCTATTGACATTGAAGACAATGCCTCAGGATGACTCATTTGGGGATTCTCCAAGCTCTAGAAGCATCAGGTTACATAAAACCTGAATCTGAACCAGGTCTGGTAGTGCACCCCTGTAATCCCAGCAATCAGAAAACTGATTGCTGCAAGTTTGAGGCCAGTCAGGGCTACAAAGCTCAAGGCCAGCCTGAACTGCATAGTGAGATCCTGTCTCATAAAGACAACAACAACAACAACAAAAGCCTGATACTGTCCCTGCTGACAATAAATACGGGGAAGGGATATAAAGCCCTGAGTTTATTAATGGGATTCTGCAGCTTGGAAAGCGACCTGATCCATTTGGGCTGCTATGATGAAATGCCTTAGACTGGGCAACTTAGAAACACCAGAAACTGATTGCTCATAGTTCCAGGAGTTCAAGGTGCTGCAGAGTGTGGTAAGGCCCCTTCCTCGGACTGTGCCTTCTAGCTCTGTCCCAACCAAGTGAAAAGAGCAGGGCAGCTTTCTAGGTCTCTTGTAAGGGTACGGACTCCATTTATGAGTCCCCACTGTTTTTTCCTCTTTGTTCTGAGATGTTTTTATTTTGAGACATGGTCACAGGTGCTAAATTTTCCAGGCTGGATTGAATTTGTGACCTCCTACCTCAGCCTCCCAGAGAGCTGAGGTTATAGGGACGCACCACTATGTTCAGCTCAGGGTTCCATCTTCTCGATCTACCTAATTATCTCCCAAAGGCTCTGCCACCTAATACCATACCTTAGGAGGTTAGGATTTTAACATATGGCCTGGGGGGAGATACATTCAGCCCAAACCAGAAAGAATTGGGTCACATCACTGACTTCAGTGTTAAAGGTCGTAACAAGTGCTATCCCACAGTAGGGATAAAAATGGACCATAGCAAAGGGCTGGGAGGTCTAGTTCATTTGCCCTTGACAATGACATGGGTCATTGGAAGCCAGGGAGCCATTTGACTGCAAACATCTCAAGTTCCAGAATTTTCCTGTTTGTGTTTTGAGACAGGGTCTCACTGTGTATTCTGAGCCAGCCTTAAACTCATTATAGCCCAAGCTAGCCTCAAACACATGGCAATCCTTCTGCCTCAGCCTCCCGAGTGCTGGGATCACAGGCCTGCACCATACTCGACTCAGGTATCAGAATGTCAAAGGAAGTGGTGGTCAGTTGGCTGGGGCATGGGTACCTCATGCTGTCCCTTTCCTGCCTCTCTCTCTGTGCTGGGAGTTCACTGTTGAGGGCAGAGATCAGTCTAGGAACAACAGTGCTGAGCTGAGTTACTGTGGAGTGTTCAGGAGAAGAAGGATGAGCAAGGCCCGGCACTCTGGGAGGCTGAGGCAGGAGGATCCTAAATTCAAGCCCAGCCTGAGCAATTTAACAACTTTGTGAGGCCCTTTGTTAAAATTTAAAAACAATTTTAAAGGCTGAGGATGTGTGAAGGCCCTGGGTTCAGCCCCTAGTACCACACCCTCCCCCTAAAAAAGGTTGAGCAGGAGCTCTATGATGCCAGAGGCTAAAAACCAGATATGGCAGCAACAGACACTGGTTTCATTTGTTCCTGCCCGGTTCAGGCTCTGCTGATGGCCACAGAATGCCCCTGGATTCCTGTGCTTTGCTACATGACTCACCCGCCCTGTTTGGACTCCCAGGGCACCAGAAAAGGGATGGGCGCCCTGACTTGCTCCCTGTACCTGCAGCTCTCCCGGCAAGCCTTGTGGTGAGCCTGGGGTCCCTGCACACTGGCCACTGAGTGCGAGCCTCAGGCTGAGGCTCCTGGCTCAGTGGGCTCCAGGAAAACCTGGGGGAGAAGCTCTGAATGTGGCTAGGACAAGGGCAGAGGGTGGCCTGGTTGGCTGGGGACAGTAAAGCCAAAGCTGGGACCCAGGGGAGACGGATGCAAGGAAGCAGTCACCACTGGAAAGCCCATCACTGAGGACTGTCTATCCCCGCCATGCTGGGCACAGCTCTTGACTAACTTCGGGTGGTTGCATTGATGTCTAAATCAGTGGCTATCTCTGTCACCTTTTATTTGTGGCTGGTTGGTTTCGTTGAGAAAAGGCCTCCTTAGGTAATTCAGGTCAGCTTTGAATATACTGTGTAGCCCAGGCCAGCACGGAACCTATAATCTTCCTGCCTCAGCCTCCAAGTGTTGGATTCATAGGTGTGCATCACCACACCAAGTAGTACCATGCTCTTTACTATAGTCCCTGACTTCTGCCGTTCAGGGGAGGAGTCTGTGGCTCTACCTCTCCGTCTATATAAGGAACCGGAACTGGCTTCCATTAACAGAGCTCCGTCGTGCTCTGTGAGAAGCCTGGTCCGGGAGCAGAGGCGCAACTGTGCCTGTACCTTCATGGTTTGCAGCAGGAGCTCTTTGACAAAGACCGGTTAGAGAGGCAGAAACAGCTTGTTAGTGCAGCAGCAAAAACTCACCCAGGAGAAAGGAAAGTAACACAAAGAAGTGGCCTAGAAGTCCGACTCATTTGGCATTTTCAAAAACAACAACAAATTTGCAGAGAGATGACCGACCCAGAAAGACAGCATCAGGCATCCATGCGGGGGGGGGGGGGTATGAAAAGAGGTGAATGGGATAAGCTTGGTCTGAGGATTCCCTGGGTGCCATTTCTGGGTTGATAAGGGGTTAGCGTTATCTCCAGTAAAGAATTTATATCCTTTAGAATTTAGCCCCATGAGATGACCCACCGCTGTAATCCTAGCACTCTGAGAGGCTGAGGCAGGAGGATTACAAGTTGGACCCCAGCTTGGTCAGCTCAGTGACTTACCAAAACCGGCCTCAAAATAAAACATAAAGAAAAAGAAAAGCTCTGGGGATGCAGCTCAGTGTGAGGTCCTTGAGTTCAGGCCTCAGTCACACACACTATTTCCTGCTACAGAGAGAAAGTGAGAAAAGGTAAAGAAAACTTTTTTCTGACATTTGCTACTTTCTTAATTACTTTCCACTCAAAATTAATTTTTATGTCAAAGAGGCATATTTTGGGATGACATCTCCTGGGTTCCTTCAACCTCAAGAGAGCTTGCATGCTTGCCACTTCCTTGGGAACTCAGCCTCCACGGTGGAAACCAGCTTACGATGGGGCAGTGGACCAGACCCCAGGGGAGGAGAGTCCGGCCCTCCCATCTGGCCCAGCCGAGGCCAGCACAGCTCCCCCTGCTGCATCCTAATGGCCCGATCAAGTCAAAGGCAGAGCCTGGGACGCAGGCCCGTGATAAGAGGAGCTTGTTTTGAGGGTGTGTGAGTGTGCGTGTTTTAAAGAATCAACTCTGCTTCATGTTTTATTTTTGTACATCTTTTAGGACCAGTTTCATTTTCCAGTTTTTCAGGTGTTCCAGCTGCCATTCACTTAACTTTCTAATCTACAATCAATCAGTATGAAAAATGAACAAGTCCCATGAGTAATTCATGGAGAACACATAATTATGGCCCCAAAAGACAATAAAGAATTCGCAACAAAACTAGGTTATATGTGGGAAGTGTATTAATCACACTCTGAATACAGCCGATCAAACAACAGAATGACATATTTTAAAAAAAAACATGCAATGTATCACAAAGAAGCTATGTAATAACCTTTTATTATCAGCCATATCAATTGTTTGTTTGTTTGTACCGGGAATTAAACTGGGGACCTTGTATTTGCTAGGCAGGTGCTTGTGCCACTGAGCTATGTACACACCCCCAGCAGCTGTATTAATAGTTTAATGGTTAGAATTAAGATGTGATTTAAGCATTTAGATCTTCGCATAGTTAACATATACACATCTGACTGTCTCAGGTGTTTTAGTAATCTGGACAGAGTTGTTGGTTGAGGTATTAAACATTAAGGTCTTGTTTAAAGTATTAATTTTAGAAAATTCACTCTCACTTAAGGTTTTTTGTTTGTTTTTGGAGACAAGGTTTCACTTTGTAGTTCAGTTTGTAATTCAGGGCAATCTTGAACTCACAGCAGTCCTCCTGCCTCTGTCTCCCAAGTGCTAGGATTACAGGTGTGTGCCACCCACTCACCTCACTTAAGGTTTTCATACCAATCCGTAACTTTATTAGGGAAATACCTGGATGCATATGTATTTTATTTGAATGCTCATTTCCTACTTCTTATCAAGCATCCAGTTTCTTCTTGGCCCTTCCCCTTCCTGACAATGCTGCTAAGACCTGAGTGTCACCGAATGATTAGTGCCTGCAACATGTGTGGCCCGGGAGGAAGCCAGCCAGATCCACCGAAGCAGCCACAGTCGGCGGGAGCAGAAAGCTTTTTTCCCAGAAAGCAATGTGCGCAGCAGTCTACAGCAGTCATTCATGATTTGACAGTAAGTTATTGGGATGCAAGCTGGGGTCAGAAAGGAGAAACTATTCCCTGGAAATAAACCTGTTTATACAATCTCCGTTCTGATTCTTTAAGGTTTAGTGAAGAAAAAATTGTTGTTGCTATAGGACACAAGAGAGCATACTTCAAGGATGGTAAGATCTGGTTCTATGCCCATGCAGCTGTTAATTATCCTTGCTCCTTCTTCTGTTAGAAACTTAATCATCTTTTTTTTTTTTTTTTTTGTCTTTTTCTTTTTTATTGGTACCGGGGATCGAACTCATGACTGCCTGCTTGCAAGGCAGGCGCTTATGTCGCTGAGCTAAACCTCCAGCCCCAAAAACTTAATCATCTTAAGAAAGTAAAAAATTTTATTTGTAAGGTGCAGTTCAGTGATGTCACAATCCTTTTTTTTTTTTTTTTTTTTTTTTTGTCTTTTCTGGTACCAGGGATCGAACTCACAACTGCCTGCTTGCAAGGCAGGCGCTTATGCCACTGAGCTAAATCCCCAGCCCCGATGTCACAATCCTTTATGAAAAATATCGCTCATTCTCTAAAGAACAAACAAAATTGAGTTTAACTATGTTTTGCTTAGTCATAAAATACTTCATTTCATAGTAGAAAAAGTAATTTTGACCCAAGGAGTTAAGAGACCTGTTATCATAGTTCAACCCCAATGCATCACATTAGGAGCACAGTCTTTGTGAGGGTTGAGAGAGAACAGCGGCTTGGTTTTCCTTAGTAAATTATTGAGGTAGACTTTTTATTTACTTATTTTTGCCTTTTTCCTTTTTATCGGTACCAGGGATCGGACTCAGGACGGCCTGCTTGCAAGGCAGGCGTTTATGCCGCTGAGCTAAATCTCCAGCCCCTAGAGGTACACTTTTTAATGTACAGTTCCTGTTGGCATCTAGGATGCACAATTTTTTGTTTTTTGATACTGGGGATCGAACTCACAACCTCGTGCTTGCCAGTTAGGCACTATCACCGCTGAGCTAAATTCCCAGATACACACAGTTTTAATGCAGGGACTCAGGTATATGGCCTTGCCATTCAGAGAGCTGGCCTCTCTGACAGTTAATGGCAATGCCCCTATTTTAACACATTGTATATTAAAACGAAAAAGCAAAAGCATAAATGTTACATGAAATGCACGTTCCTAGTGATAAAAATCTAAAAAGTCTATCCATCCTGTAAAATTACCTCCTACATTTTTCTCATGATTTGTTTGTTTGTTTTTTGAGACTGGGTGTTGTTATGTGGTTCAGTTCAAAGCTCACTGTGTGGCCCTGGATGGTCTTGAATTCCCAATGATCCTCCTGCCTTGGCCTCCTTGCTGGGTTTACAGGTATGTGCCACCATGACCAGCCGTATTTTTATGTTTTAAAATATAATACCTATGGGCTGGGGACTTAGCTCAGTGACATAAGCACCTGCCTTGCAAAGCAGGTGGTTGTGAGTTTGATCCCTGGTATCGATTAAAAAAAAAAAGAAAGAAAGAAAAGAATATAATACCTACATGTTTCTCTTTCTTACATTCATACTTACCTCGGCAATTTCACATCTGTACTAATCTTATAACTATTTAATATATATATAAGTTATATATATAATTTATATATATATAAAACTACATAATATATATATAAATACCTATGAAATCTAGATATATTACACTCACTATAACCCACCCAGACTTTTAGTTTAACTTAATTATCACACAGAACTTTATAGAGATGAACCCATTTTGTACAATAGCCCTTGATGTTACCCACTAATACATAATTTTAAATTCAGCCAAGAAAACCTTTAGTATATTGTAAAACATAATATGCTAATTTTATAAGGTATAAAAATAAACAATTATGAGAAATTCAATATTTACTTACAAATATCCATTACCTAGTATGTTAGAAAAATTTACTGTTCCTTCAGATAAGCCCTTGAAATTAATTTTTAAGATTTTCCCTGATGATCAGTTTAAAGGCCATAGAGTCTTTAAATGTAAGCAAAAGTCTTCATATACAGTGAAAAAAAGTCAAACGCAAGGCTAAGTAGCATATTAAAAATAGCTAAAGTATTTTTAATTTTTTGAGGGGGTATTGGGAAATCAAACTTATGACTTCACACGTGCCAGGTAAGCACTGTGACACTGAGCTATATCCTCAGCGCCAGCTAAAAAATTTTTTTTACTTTTTGTCTTTTTGAGACAGGGTCTTGCTATGCAGTTCAGGCTGGACTTGAGCTCGCTTTGTAGCCCAGGCTGGTCTGGAACTCACAACGATCCTCCTGCCTCAGCCTCCTGAGTGCTGGGATCACAGGCATGCACTACTACCCTGGGCTCAACTAAAATATTTTAAAGAAGGGAAACATACAGACTGGGGATTTAGCTCAGCAGCATAAGCGCCTGCCTTGCAAGCAGGCAGTGGTGAGTTCAATCCCCAATACCTATAAAAAAAGAAAAAGACAAAAAAAAAAAAAAAAAAAAAAAAGGGAAACATAATTGCAATTTTAGTATTAGAAATGAATGTAGGCTTTTTGCATGCCATCTGTGTATGCAGTTTAGTTACATGTTTTAACTATGAAAAAACAGCAAATCACTTGCTTCCTGCAGACAAGTAAGTGCAGGAGCATAAGGATTTAATGAACAGCCTGGCCATTTCTAAGTCTGAAAGCAGATTTCTCCCCTCAAATGTTCAATAAAGATTTAGCACTGCAATTAAGGGCGCTAATATTACAACAGTTGGCTCCCCGTACTCAAGGAGAAGGCTGAAACGGAAGTCTACTGGTCACAGATGCTGGACAGGCACCAGCAGTGGGCGCCTCCGCTCCCATTAGGCTTTATGAATCTGTCCATCGGAGTCCACCTGCTGGCGCAGGTCCAGACATAGCAATTGGTTTTTCTATTTTTTTTTTTTTCCTTTTTCTTTCTCCTTTCTCCCACACATGGAACCTCTAAACCCTCCCGAAACGCAGCTTCCTCCTGTCTTCTCTCTGCAGACTCGGCACGGTTTGCTGTTTCCTGTTACTGGCAGCAAAGGTGCAGCTACCTGAGCACAGCTCCATCAGCTCGGGTGGTGGAGGCCACCCACATCGCAAGGCCCGTGTCCAGAAACTCATTTAAAAAAAAAGAAAGAAAGAAAGAAAGAAATGGCTTTGCTTTTAAACCCCCAAAGCACATTATTTCAACAGCAGCAGCCAATATGGGGTTTAGCAGCTTAGTTTTACCCCATAAATGAAGCTTTGTATTAACTTCTCCCCAGGAGTGAGACCAGCTCAGACGGGAACAACTGCCCACGCCTGTAAATCCAGCACTTGGGAGCCGGAGGCAGGAGGATACTGAATTTGAAGCCAACCTAGGCTACACAAGACCCTGCTTCAAAAAAGAACAAAAGAGAAAAGAAAGGGAGGTCTCAGGGTGAGCAGTTTATAAAAATATAACAAGAAGAATCAGCCCTGCCCTGTCCAAGATAATAGCCACTGGGCACTCGGAGCCACTTACTGTGTTCAGGCCAAGACAGGGTCTTACTAGGTAGTTGAGGCTGGCCTTGAACTCACTGTGTAGCCCACGCAGGCCTCAGACTCACAGCAATCCTCCTGCCTCAGTTTCCTGAGTGAGATCTTCCAGGCAAAATTAATTTTAACTACATTATTCCACTTAACCTAGTGTATCAGTTTAGCCTCTAATCAATATAAAGTATTATTACTGATACATTTTATCTTTTAAAATTTTTTTTCAGTCACCAATACCTCATTTCAATTGGGACCAGTACATTTCTGGTGCTCAGTGGCACACACCACCACCCCAGCTCCTGGAATGTTTTTGTAACCAAATCTCAGCAAGATTCATGCTGAGGAGAGTCTGGACTCCGTATCTGTGGTAGCACAAGGGGAACACAATCCATTAATAAACATAAAAAGATGCAAAAAATGAAAACAACAAAAAATAACATTTCACCCATCAAGTCAGCCAGAACAAAATCGATTTCACCCACACAGGTGACAAGGGAAAGTGTAGGATAGGTGGCATAGGTGTTCCAGAGAGTATATAAATCAGTCCACTTATGTTTTAGGTAATTCAGTAATTTCATATTTTAAGCATGAAAAGTCTTGGTGTAGTTCGGTGGTCCTGAACTCATGACATAGCCCAGCTTGGTCATTTACTCATGTTTCTATGGAATCACTTCTCTTGATTATGCTTTATTATTTTTGTGGAAAATAGTTTCTTCTAATAACTTATTTTTAACCTACTATATGGTGCTTTGCTTACATAGCTTTATTTTGTTTATTTTTTGTTTTGTTTTGAGACAGGATCTTGTAATGTAGTCCAGGCCTTGTAATGGAGTTCCTTCTGCCTCAGCCTCCCAATTGCTGTGATTACAGACATGCATCAACACACTTGACCCTCCAAACCATCTTTAAAAACAAACAGAAATTAGTGTTATTGAGAAGATTGACAGTGTTTACACATTCTTAAAGTATAAAGTTTGATAAATCTGGACATATGTATAAAATCAAATCACCACATCATTACCATCAAAGTCCAATAACTTTCACCCTATTTATTATACTGTTAAATGTGAATTCTTAGCAGGAGGTGATGGTTATCCCAGCAGTGCAGGAGCCTGAGGCAGAAGGATCCCAAGCTCAGATTCAGCCTGGGCAACTTATCGATTTAGTGAGAGCCTGCCTTAAAATAAAAAAATAAAAAAAGCTGGGTCTGTAGCTCAGTGAAAAGGCCCTGGGCTCATCCCCAATACTAAAAGAAAAAAAATGGTTAATTCTTTCCTTATGGTTTTGTATTCTGTTCTGAAGACTTTGTCCAGCTCAAGGTTGTAAAAATAGGCTCGATGTTTGCTTCCAATGGTGTTTTTTTTTTTAACTTTAAAGAGAAAAAAAGGCACAGAAAAAATTAGAAAGCAATCAAGAAAGCTAACAGAAAAAAACCTCAACAACAAAAACCAAACGATGCCAATCTTATTTTAACTTGCATGTTTGGTTAGGGGAATTCATGGTCCTGACCAGGACCATGCAAGACCAGGGCTGGGAGGTGGGTGTTCTCATTTGTTCCCACGCCCTCTACCGACAGAGCTTGGGCATTACACCCATTTTGGGCGGAGTCTGCAGCAGGCCCACCGCTGATCCCCAGCAGAGCAGCTCCGACTTCAGTCCGTGACTCTATTCTCATCACGTTCCTTCCCGCAGCCTCCGGAGCGCTGCTGAAATTGGCGGGGTTGGTCGCCTGCTCACTTCCCCGCGGTGGCAGGTTCTGCCGTGAGTGGACTAGCCTGGGGCAAAACTGGAACCTAGGCCTGGCCTGCGGGTTTGTGTTACTCAATCCCAGTCTTCAAGAGCCCCGCGCATGGGGTGCAGGTAGCTGTGCTAGAGTGCTTGCCCCGCTTGCATGAGGACCTGTATTTAACCTCCGGTACTTGTTCCATCAACACACATTATTAATTGCAGGCACCAGGCCACTACAGGGCTGGGAAGAAAGAAAAAAAAAAAAACAATCACAAAAGACCAGGTGTGGTAGTGCACACCTGTGATTTCAGCATTCTGGGAGGCTGAGGCAGGAGGAGCCGACTCAAACTCATCCAGGGCAATTGAGTGGTTTAGAAAGACCCTGTTTCTGCCAGGCATGGTGGTGCAGGAGGATGACCACAATTTGGAGGCCAGCCAGGGCTACACAGGGAGCTCAAGCCCGAACTACATAACAAGAGTCCCTGCCTCAAACAACAACCAAGTGAGGTGGGGGGGGACACTCTGCCTCAAAACAAAAACAAGCAAAGATGTGGCTCAGGGAAAGACCCTGGGTTTCATCCCCGGTACCACAAGAAAGAGAAAAACAAAGCAAGAGCACTGCCATTCTGCTGGTAGGGAGAGACCGATCGGTAACAGATTTAATAGACAGTTATGTGGAGACTGTTGGTGCTCACCCTGGGGACTGTGAACATCGCTGTGTACAGGCAGAAGCTACGTTTTCAGTGGGCTGATCAGGGTAGGTTTCACTGAGAGTAAGAGTAACTCTGGACAGCGTGGCCGGAGCTGTAAGATGAGCTGGAAGGATGGGTGGGGTCTCCTGTGACGGGAAAGAGCCGGGAGCCTGCAAGTCCCCCAGGCCCGGCCCAGGGCAAAGCACTTGGGGTGAGGTCACTACGCCAGGAGGAGGCCATCAGGTCATCGGGCCGGGCGGCTTTGCTGAGGTCCCTGGTTTTTACCTGGAGCCCACTGCAGGGTGTCTAACGTTCTCTCGCCTCCCTCCATTGAATAAAGAAATATGGATCTAGTGTATCGTCCTACACATATGCAATGTGTCAGGAGTCAAAAATAAATAAAACATGTGCCCACTGAATAAATATCTCGTTAAAATTTTTACTATGTGTTAACCCCTTAATTAGCATATTGGCGGTTCTGCAAAGTTCTGGGCTTGGTCTAAGTGGAATCACTCTGTGATCTCCTGTGACCCGGATTGCCCCCTCCACGCAATCTTCTGGTGCCGTCCAGCTCCAGGTCTTTTTTTTTTTTTTTTTTTTTTCTGGGGATCAAACTCACGACCGCCTGCTTACAAGGCAGGCGCTTATGCTGCTAAGCTAAATCCCCAGCCCCAAGGTCCAGGTCTTTCATCTCCACTGTTTTATAGCACTTCGTTGAAAATCACACCTCAGCTGTGTCTCCCCCATTCTTCCCTAGAAGGAAGTGAGCTCATTTTCAGTGACTGCCCAGGACCGTCTTGTTCCCCGCGCTTTGTAACCTCACTAGTAATTGGTGTTATCAGACTTTAAAATGCTTGGCTAAGCCAGATGTGGTGGCACAAACCTGTGATCCCAGCACTCAGGAGGCTGAGGCAGGAGGATGGAAAGTTAGAGCCAGTCTGAACTATATAGTGAGTTCTTGTCTCAAAAAACACAAATATTCTATCAACTAGTGATTTCTTACTATTTCTTTTTGAAATTCTGTATTACTTCTACCCTTTTTTCTGTTTTGTTTTTTTTTCTCTTTAAATAAAATCCTTTTATTAAAAAACACAAATAATTTTTGGCTAGTTGGTGGTTGAAAGATGATGTCCTATTGTGCTTTCATTTTTGTGGCATCTTTTCTGATTTTTGTAGGCTGTTTGTATTTCCTCTCTCTCTTTTTTTTTTTTTTTTGGTCTTTTTCATTTTTATCAGTACCGGGGATCGAACTCACGACTGCCTGCTTGCAAGGCAGGTGCTTATGCTGCTGAGCTAAACCCCCAGCCCCCTGTATTTTCTCTTTGATTAAGTACCTATGCAATACTTTTGTCTTTCTATAATTGTCCTATTAATTTTTAGGAGTGATATATATATATATATTTTTTTTCAGTGTGGAGGATTGAATCCAGTGCCTCCCATATGCCAAGCAAGAGCACTACCACTAAACCACATTCCCCAGATCTCTTAAAACTTTTATTGAGTCTGGACCTCATTAAATTGCTGAGGCTGGTCTTCAATTTGTGATCCTCCTGTCTCAATCTCTCAAGTAGCTGGGATTACAAGCATGTGCCACCAAACCCAGCTCTGGTGACTCTGAACACAAATTCTTAATTTAAGAATGTTAAATTTAGCCGGGCGTGGTGGCTCATGCCTGTAATCCCAGCACTCGGGAGGCTGAAGCACGAGGATTGTTGCGAGTTCAAGACCAGTCTGGGCTACAAAGTGAGCTCAAGGCCAGCCTGAACTGCTGCATAGCAAGACCCTGTCTCAAAAAGAAAAAAAAAAAAAAAAGAATATTAAATCTAGCAAGTTTAACTAGGCATGGTGGCTCACGCCTGTAATCCAGCATTCAGGAGGCTCAGGCAGGAGGATCATTTTGAGTTCGAAACCAGCCTGGGCTACAAAGTGAGCTGAAGACCAGCCTAAACTGCATAATGAGAATCTGTCTCAAAAAGACAAAAAAAAAAAAAAAAAAAAAAAAGCAATCTTTTATTTCATGCTGTGTTTGTATCTAATTAAAGAACTCTTTCACTATCCTGATAATATATCCTACAATACTTTCTAAAAATTTTATAGTTCTGCATCTTATTATATAAATCAAATAAATGAGATGGAAGTTAAGTTTTTAATAAACCTAAACCTAGTTTTTGTTTGCTTTATACTTGTGTAATTTTCTTACGGCTTTGTGGTTTGCTTTGGTGGTGTTTTGTTGTTATTTTTGTTCTGTTTTTGGTGTTTTTGAACAGATTCTCATTCAGTAGTTCCTTGAATTTATTATGCTGCCCACACGGGCCTTGAACTTGCAGCAGTCCTCCTGCCTCAGCATCCCAAGTATTGAGATTACAGGCAGGCACCATCATGAAGGCAGCTTTGTGTTTTCCTAGGAGTTTGTGTGGCCTTTCATTTTTTCCCACTTACAGAAACTGACATCTTCTTCACCCTGTCATTAAAGCTTCAAACTTTGGGGCTGGGGGTTTAGCTCAGCGGCATAAGCACCTGCCTTGCAAGCAGGCGGTCGTGAGTTCGATCCCCGGTACCGATAAAAATGAAAAAGACAAAAAAAAAAAAAAAAAAAAAAAAAGCTTCGAACTTTGTAACCATATCATGGGTAGCTTGGAAGCAGTTTTTCTTGTTCTGAAGACACTCTGTTTATCTGGACAGGTAGCTATTAGGGCGACAGCACGGAAGCCAGGGTGACAGGCCTGACCAAGCCCCCATTCCTTGTTCACACATTCTTCTCTTCTCACTGTTCCTTACTTTTGCTGCAGTACAGCCCAAGCCTCTCTAGGAAGTGCACATAAATACAGCTCTTTCTTTCTTTCTTTCTTTTTGTTACAACTCTTTCTTTCAACCTCTCAGTTCATAGTTTGGCTGGAGATTGAATTCTAAATTCAAAACAATGAATCCTAATCTGATGTACACTTACTTGTAGTTTCGGATGATTTTGTTTCCTTTTTAGACACAGGTTTTCCCTAAATTTCCCACCCTGACCTTGAACTCACAATCCTCCTGCCTCGGCCTCCCTCATGCTGGGATTACAGGCATGAACCATCATGCCTGACTCACAACTTATTGTTAAAACCCCAAAACAATGAGATTCTTCCACTTCTAATGGACTCTGCTAATCTGGATGATGTCTGAAAAGTCAGACTTGGTAAATATATCATGACTTTTGTTTATACTTTTTTATGGTAGGTAAGTTTCTTGCTTGATGTAAAATGTGAGTTGTGCTGTTGGGGAACTGGCATTAGAAATATTCTAGGGCAGCTAGGCATGGTGGTGCATGCCTGTAATACCAGCACTCAGGAGGCTGAGGCAAGAGGATTGCCATGAGTTCAAGAACAGCCTGAACAATTTAGTGAGACCCTGCTCCAAAAAAACCAAGCATCGTGCATGTACAATACTTTCATTTTAATTCAAGAACATTAGCAAGATTCTCATTAGAGTTTCTTCCTAGAGCCTGCTTTTAAGAATCTATTATGGGTTGGGGATGCAGCTCAGTGATAGAGCACTTGCCCAGCATGTGTGAGGCTCTGGGTTCAATCTCCACTACTGAAAAAAGTTAGTTGAGGATAATGGTGCATATTTGTAATCCTACCTCTTAGTAGGCTGACGCAGGAAGATCATGAGGGCTACATAGTGAGACCCTGTTTCAAAAAACAAAGTAAAAATAAACCCTAGAATCTTTCTTTGTTGTTTTGAGACAGGATCTCAATTCAATTAAAAATAAATTAGGCTTTCAAAAAAAATTATCTTTTCAAGTGAGAAAGTATTTGGTACTGTTATAGTCAGGGATCATAAGGGAAACAATTTCATATAGGACACACACTTTATAAGATTAGTTTATAGTACTCACCCAGAGTCAAAAACAAAAGAGTGCAAAGGATCTATCCACACCCTCGAAACACAAAGAATCCAGCTGAGGGCCTGGATCCCACGGCGATGTCCTGCACAAGTCCAGCTGAAGACCCAGAGCCCATGGCAATGTCTTCCATGAGTCCGGCTGGAAATCTAGAGCCCAGCACAATGACTCATGCAAGTCTATTTCAGGGATCTGCACTGGGACAGTCCCAGGTCAGTGACGGAAGCTAGAAAGTCTGCGCCAGCGGGATGAAGGATCTGTGCCAGCAGGCTGAGGGATCTGCACTGGAGCCAGGAAGTGATGCTCAAGGTAAGGACCAGAGCTTCCCTGAAAAGAAATATAGCCATCCTCAGTGACAGCAAGGACACGAGCTCCTCTGGTGATAACAGCTGAGTTCATATCAGAAGAGCCAGCATGACAAGCTTCTCCAGGAGAACCAACAGCTCACCATCGTCCTCTCCCTATGGCCGTTGGCAGCAACCTTCAGGTGGGTCCTCCACACCCAGCACCATGCTGATTCAAGTTACCCACCAGGTGTCAGTCCCCCGCAGGTGCATTGTCTCTCAGCCTCCTTCACTTACTAGAAAAACATCTGATTTTCATTTCTTTGTGGATGGTCAATATGTTCTCCCTGTTTTTAATTTTTTGTGGCACTGATGATTGACCCCATGGCCTTGGGCATACTAGGCAAATGCTCTACCCCTGAGTCCAGAGCCTTTTCTTTGCTCTTTCTCTCCTTTTCTTGAGGAGGAGAGGAAGTGAGCAACACAATTATTACCAGTGCATTTCTGGGATATAGAATAATTATGGATAAAGGTAATTGGCACCCACCACTCCATGACATGCCTCAAAAAGTCCTACAGAATCTGAAATGCTGACCAGAAGCCTGACCGGATCCACTGGAAAATATCTGCAAATCTCAAAAGATCTCTGCTATTTCAGCTAGCATGATGAAAAGACCGTTAAAGTCTTTCTTCCTCTCCTACTCTGGACTAAGAATGAAAGTTAGGGGTAGAGAGCGAGGAGGACTGTTACTGTTAATATTTAAAATAACATCAACTAAACTTAACAGAAATTTTAGTAGGCTAATGGTTATTGTATTCTTTGTTTTTTGCTTTTTAAATTTTTTTTCATAGTACTGGAATCTGAATCCAGGGTCTTTTTTTATTTTTTATTTTCATTTTTTTTGTGGTACTAGAGATCAGACTTGCAACCTTGTGCTTGCCAGGCAGGCGCTTATGCCACTGAGCTAAAGCCCCAGCCCTGAATGCAGGGTCTTCATACTGAGGTACAAGGAAATTTTTTTATTCTTTATTTTGAAACAAGGTCTCACTAAATAAGTTGTCCAGGATGGCCTTGAATTTGTGATCCTCCTGCCTCAGCCTCCTACATGCTGGCATTACAGGTATGGACCACCACACTGCACTCAATATCTAATTGAGAAAAAAAGGCTATTTGGGTCACACCTGGGGACTTGCAGTCAGCAGTGGACACGAGAGGCAGGACCACTGCTGCACCTTTGTCCAGGGTCTTGCTGGCTGCAAGGACACAAGGGTGGGCCCAGGCATGTCTCTTCCCACCCAGCCCACATCTGTCTTCCCTGCCCAAGCTGGGGAGATGTGTCTCCTGGAGACACCACTTGGGCAGCTCACAAGGCCCCCCAGCTCCTGTCTTCAGCTCTCCTCAGGAGCTGTCTGTCTCTCTTAGACTTGGGTTTATGTCAGTAGTCAATTTTTAAATTTTTCCTTGTTCTTAATTGGCGCACAATAATTGTACGTTTTATAGATTTTTAATTGTTTTAAAAAGTGATTTGGGTCACACCTGGGGATTCCTGCTTCCCAGGTAGGCCTCAGCCCAGGGACAGCTCCCACTGTGGAAAGGCCATGTCACACTCACCAGTGTACTTGGTTTTGCCTCAGCCAATGGTGACACACAGGACCCAGCAGAGAAGTTGTTACTGGCACTGGGAAAGCACGAGGCAGACACGGTCTTGGAGAGCTGGGCAGGCGCGGCCAACTTCAGCAGGGTGATGTCCTTGCAGACTGAACTTGGGGTTCTTGAAAAACTCAGGGTGACAACCACAACCCTGATGAGGACTCAGGAGTAGCCCATCCCCATATCTATCTACAGGGGCCAAGTTTCTGTCCTCAAGCTCCTGTCCTCAAGCCTGGTACCTCTGTGATCCTCAGGACTTAGATGCTTTCCTCATCAGATCGCTGGTCAAACATCCCACCCACCACCATGTCTGTTTTTTTAGGAACAGAGATGGGAGAGGCTGGGGACAGATGAGCTCACCCTCTCCAACCCTCACCCCTACCCTGAAGCTTGGAGCACAGCCCAACCTTGCTCACCTGACCTCACAGTGGGGGGTGGTGACCACCCAGCACTCCCAGATGAGGGAGCCCCTGCAGAAGTGGAAGCCGGTTTCCTCCTGGGAAGGAAGGAGGGGGAGGTCCCAGCTGCTGCCTAGACAACACTCCAGCCTGCCCAACAGCCTGGATTCCCCCACCCCAGAAGCCTATCTCACCTGCAGGGACACCTGCCAGGCCAGGAACCATGAACAGTACCCTTGCCACCAATGACCCTGGCCAGGTCACTCAGCACAGGCTGGATGGCAGGGACCCTGAAGCCTGAGAGCAGGGTGAGGGAGGGCTGTGGCCTCAAGCCAGTCTGGGCCTGACCCCCAGCATTGCAGAGCTACTGGTTCCCACCTCAGCCCACACAGCCTGGCTCAGGATCCCCACTCCACAGCCAACTCCGCCTCTGCAAGGTCCCCTAGCTTCTTTGAAACTCTGAGCTCAAGGCTCCCTCACCTGCAGCCTGCTGACCCCAGTCCTTTTCCACAGGTGCAGAGGGACATGGCTGTCCCCACCCGGGCTGTCCTGCCTTAGAGGAAAACAGCTGGGCTTTCAGACGACATGGGCTCGACCTCTCAGTGCCCCTCCTGGCTGTTTGGCCTTGGACCAGGGACTCCACAGTGTCCTCAGCTGCTCAGTGGGAGCAGAACAATGCTGAGTAAGCAGATCAGTGTACATCTATTAGACAGGTGGGAGTGGCTTGTGGAATTCACACCCGTGACTCCCATCCTGTGTCCTCCATCCTGGACACTAGGCTGATGAAGTGTGGCATGGCACCAACTCACAGCACAAGGCCTGCGCAGAATTCACCATTTCTGCAGCACCTCAGCATTTCAGCATCTACTGATCACGTAAAGGTTGGGTTTCTTAATTATTAGTAAAACAGGACTTTGAATAACACCATAAAAGCCAGTATCAGGGAAGCAATGGACAAATAAGAAGTACAGGTGTATCACATGTGTCTGTGGCACTCGGGCTGGATCACCAAGTGGATTCTCAGTCCTAGTTGCATGCTTGGTCTTTATACTGATGCATGGAGCCCCAGTCACTAACTGCACCTCCAGGTCCTCACCTGCTATAGGTCCAGCACCTACTTTCCTTGCCCACAAAAGAAAGGACTTGGACAAGGTCCATCTAGGAGAAAATACTACTGCTACTCCTGCTACTGCTACTACTACTAATCTATTTGTTATAACAGCCAAAAGAGAGAGAAATAAGTACTGGTTTATTCCCACAAAAGAGAGGACATGCCAGTGATTCAAGTGAAGAGCTGGATCCCATAGCAACATGGATAAATCTACCACCTTATGAGTATAAAAATGCACATTGTAAAACTGATGAATAGTATGCAAATTTTAAAAATCTTTATGAATATATATATATATATACACATGCATGTGCGTAACACATTTGTATAAGTTGTCATAAAAATGACACGCAGATCTGAGAACAGGAACAGGAAGGAAGAGGGAGCAAAGGGAAGCTGTAGCTGAATCTCCTTTATATTTTATAAAGGCATATCTAAGCTGGGCACAATGTTGCACCTGTAGTCTCCGTTACTGGGGAGCTGAAGGGACAGGTGCAGAGGGACACTGCAAGAGGAGAAGCAGGAGGATCACTTGAGCCCAGCATTTCTCAGCTAGCTTGGGTAAGACAGTTTTTGTGAGATCCCATCTCAGAAAACAAAACCACACCTAGTTTAAAAAGATGTCATTTAGGTATCAAGAAATTCTTTGTTTTGGCTGGTAGAGTGGTGCAAACCTGCAATCCCAGCATTCTGGAAGGCTGTCACAGAACTCAAGTGCCTATAATTTACTGAAACCTTGACTCAAAATACGAAATAAAAAATAGCTGAGGATGAAGCTCAGACAGAAGCCCTGGGTCCCCAGTACGACACACCATCTTGAAATTTTACAAGGATGTGTTAATTATTGTTTTCCCCTTCACTGATTCTCTTAGAGACACTTGAGGAGTGCTTTTGTTTCTGTTCAGCTCTGTGTCACTTATATTTTTAGAAAAAAAATTTCCTGGTAGTGGGGATTGAACCCAGAGTTTTCATACCCGGCCCCACTTAAAAAAAAAAAAATCTGGGACTAGGTCATGCTAAGCCTGTAAACTGCTAGGTTTAGCCTGACTTTGTGACCCTCCTGCCCCAGCTGCCCAGCATGTTGGGAACACAGGCATGTGCCAGCATGACCAGTCAGTTTAGAAATTTCTGCCTAATGCTTTTTTCTGAAATGCCCATTAATTAGTTTGATCATCCCCATTTGTTATCTTTGATTTCTTTTTAAAAAATATCAATATTGAGGATCGAACTGAGTATGTAACTTCCACTAGGTATGAGTTTTACAACTCTGTCATATATCCAGTGTTCTCATTTTGGGGGGGGGGCAAGATCTTGCTAAGTATCCTCGAACTTGTAATTCTCCTCCCTCAGCCTCCCAAGCAGCTAGGGTTACAGGCATGTATCATCATGCCTGGTATAGCTTCTCTTATATTAATATCAGTTTTACCCATAAAATAAACCTATAAATAACTGTATTGAATTGTTTGGGTTAATTAGATAATATATAGCTACACTTTCTCTTGGTAACACATAAAGTAACCAGTAAGATTTATTATTATCCACCATCAGACACTTTATCTCCTGGACTTTGTTGAAAGCTATTATCCTTGGTAACTTCTCTTTAGAGAACTTGCCTATTATTCGCTTATTCTTTGTCTCTATGCCTTTCATACTAACAGCATCTCTGAACGAAGAAGATATAAAAATACATGATCGGGGCTGGGAATTTAGCTCAGCGGCATAAGCGCCTGCCTTGCAAGTGTGCAGTCCTGAGTTCTATCCCTGGTACCGATAAAAAAGAAAAAGACAAAAAACAAACAAACAAATATGATCCAGTTTTTCAGTATTGAACTGAAACCTCTTGAATTTTCATTTTCTTTATAGTGAAGTAGCCCCAGAGATGATGAATGAGCACTCTCTTGGCCCCGGCCCAAGTGAAAATAAATAAAAGAATAATAGTCATTAATAAATAAAATAAATAAATAAGACGAAGTAGGCCCAAGGACAGCATAAATGCACACAGCCTCATTTCTGCATCCCACACTGGACACTGGAGTCTTTCCACCATGGTCAGCTTTAAACACAGAACTTTCCTGTTTCCTTTATCAGCATTGGGCTCCAATCCTAGGCGAAACAACGCCACAAACTTGTCCCATCGGTGCTTCTCCACATTCATTTTAAATCTGTATCTGGGCTCATATGCGGCCCACGCAATTGCCCTACTTTCTTATGCGAGGGGTTAATGAGAAAAAGCTGAGCACGCCCAAAGCCGCAGTACACTCTCCTCCAGTAGGGGGCGTAGCCAGTAGGGAGGCGGGGCCTGGGCCTTTACGAGTCGTACGCAACGTCAGAGGCGGGAATAACTCTATCCCCGCCCCATGCGTGTACGGCGCCCTGTGATTGGAAGATGAGACTATCCGTTGGCAGCTCCGTTGGGGTAGGAGGAAGAAGGGCCCCGGACGAACGTGACGCTGAGGCGGCGTAGGTGTGGGGAGCAGGTTGTGTAGCACTTCGGGCGCGCTCGCTTCATCTTTCTGTGGTGAATGGCGACGGAATGGAGCGCGAGGGGAGCGGAGGCAGCGAGGGGTCGGCCGGACTCCTGCAGCAGATCCTCAGCCTGAAGCTTGTGCCACGAGTGGGCAACGGGACCCTGTGCCCCAACTCTACTTCTCTCTGCTCCTTCCCAGGTACCGGCCCTGTCCCGCCCCGCGCCTGCGCACTGAGCGTTTTGCCCCTTGCTGGCGGTTTGGGAAACCGCGCCCCTCTTGCTGGTCAGTTCCGGCTTCTTGGCCAGAACGCCTTTTCTGGTCATTTCTTTGCAGAACCCCGGGAGCTGGCCGGCTCGATCCTGCTGTGGTGGGGGAGGGCTGTGATCGGAGAGAGCAGCCACGGTTGGACTGGGTAGCTAAAGGGGCTGGTGTCGCCCTTTGGAATTGCCCAACCGGTCGGGTTCAGAGTACTATTAGGTTTGTTTGGGGCGCAGGACGGTGCCTGTCCTCGGCTGGGGTCATCCCTACCTGGCCGAACAGCGATGAAAATTGACATCTCCTTTGTTTCTAGTTTGTGTCCCGACCCTCCATGCTGGTAACCCAGTCTGCTTATCGCCGGTACCCCAGCCAGACCCGCCCCCTGCCGCTCGTCTTTCTAGCAGTTGCTCTCTGAGACCTGTTGTGGGATCACCCACCACAGGACCTTGGACACAGCTTCTCCTTAGTTCCCGTTTCCCCCACTTCCAACTGCTGATGGGCCCGGTAGACTGGTTTTTCAAAGCAACAAAGTAAAACTATCCATACTTAAAACGTTGGGGAGAGATCAACTCTTGTGGGAAGATTAATAAAGGCTTTGAAGGGAGGGCACAGGTATTTGTGTGAGACCTTTACAGACCAAAATATGGACTAATGGCGATTGAAGGGGGAGGTTAGGGCCCTGATACCTTGATTTAGTGAGAGAAGTGGGCCTTGAGAGAATGCCTAGAGAAGGCAAATGGGGTTGCTGACTGCAATCTTTGCTACGTGATTTTCTATCCACTGGGTAGTGACTGCCAGGCGCCTTTCAGTAGACACTTGGGACTTGCTGTGCATCACCTGCCTAGGAATCTTCTAGCACAAGTTTATCAGGTAGCTGATCAGGCAATAACTGTGTTAGGGCAAATGAAATATTAGCTTGTAATCATGTCTGAAATGGCAACCTGGCAGCTCAAGTTTCAAAAAGTATTAGGATCACAATGACAATGATAAAAGTTCAGTATTCAGCTTTCTGGTGACCATGACTGAAAAGTGAAACATTCTCTGTATTTTTTCCACTAACTCTTTTTTTTTTTTTTTTTTTTTTGTCTTTTTCGTTTTTTTTTTATTGGTACCAGGCATCGAACTCACGACTGCCTGCTTCCAAGGCAGGGGCTTATGCCGCTGAGCTAAATCCCCAGCCCCTCCACTAATTCTTTATTTGGAAAATTTTCAAACTTTGCAAAAAAAAAAAAAAGAAAAGAACTACAGTAAATATCCAGATGCTTTGTTTAGGCAATCATTGCTTAACAACCTGGACTCATTAGGTGGTTTCCTTGGGGGAACATTATAATGTACTTAACACAAATGCTGTGGCCTATCACACACCTAGGGTATTTTATCTTATGGGCTCATCATCATATATTTGGTCTGCCATTGACCTTAACGTATTTTTTTCTGTCCACACACACACACACACACACACACCCGTGCATGCATGGCAATGCATTTACGTTACATTTTAACTTTCTGCAAAGAACTTTCAGAGGAAGTTGCAGAAGTCAGGGCAGTTCATTCCTACTACTTGAGCATATGTCTTCAAAAACAGCTGTTTTCTATTATACTCACAAAATCATAATCCTAATATATTTTACATTGATAGAGTAATTTTTCTAACATACAGATCTTTCTCCCAATTGGCCATGTAGTGTCCTCCCCCCACTTTTTTTTTTTTTTTTTAATTCAAGGATCTAACTAGGTTGCAGTGGTCATGCCTGCAATACCAGCACTCTGGTAAGGGAGGAGGATCCCCAGCCTGGCCAATGTGGAGAGACCCTGGTCCAAAGGATAAAAAAAGCTGGGAGGTATGGCTCAGTGTAGAGGGCCTGAGCTCAGTCTCCAATACCACTACCTACGTAAATGCATGCACGTTTATTTCAGGATCTAATCAGGGATCACTGACCATGAGCTGGGCATGACGGTACACACCAGTGCTCCCAGCACTCAAGGCTGAGACAGGAGGACAACTGAGTTTGAGGCCAGCCTGGGCTACATGACAAGACCCTGTCTAAAAAACAAAAAGGATCATACATGGCATTTAGTTATGTCTCTTTAGTCTCATTTAATGTAGAACAGATTTCAATTTTTGTTTCAATTTATTGAGATTGAGATTTTTTTTTTTAAGAATGTAAGCCAATTGAATTGTAAACTGTTCTACCTAGATTTATCAACTTCTCCATGATTTGATGAATTAAACATTTTTGGTGAGAATGTGCCCTAGGTAGTTGATATTTTCCACTTGACTGTGAATCACATCAGTAGATAGTTAATGTCAGTCTGAACCTTTCTTGATAATATTAGCTGTGGTCCTGTGATGAAGATAGTATCTGTCAGATCTGTCCATTGAAGGATACCGTCATCCCTTCGTAATTAAAAGTCATGTGAGGTGATACTTTAGAATTGAATATTCTTTTTAACCTAATCGTTAGCTCCTTTTAAAGAAAAGATTAAGATAAGTGGGTCTGGGCTGATAGTTTTAATAAGTCACAATAAAGAAGCTCTTCCTGTGGGAATTACTTTGCTTTTAGAAATTCTAAAAATATTAAACTACAAGGTGTACTTGAGCTTGCCGTTACTTCTGTGGATGTATAATTTAAGGTTAACAGGGGTCACTATTCAGCAAGTATGCATTTGACGAAGCCTGACCTTTACCCTCAGTCAGTTGGGATGTGGTGGTGAACACATACCCTCCCATCTTTAGCTGGAATGCTGGATACAATAGGTGGCTGAAGTTTGACCTGGTTTGAGCCACCAAGCCTGCTAATAAAAAGAGTTTCATTCAGTGTCCTGAATCTGGCATTGTTTCTATTTTGGACCAACAGGAAAAAGGTTACTGGCAGTTTATGCCAACTCATTATCACAAAATCATTGCTCTGAAACATTCTGTGGTTTATCTGCCAGGAAGCTTTGGATTGATTTTTTTTTTTTAAACCCTGCATTTAGGGCTGGGGATTTAGCTCAGTGGCATAGATGCCTGCCTGGCAAGTGCAAGGTCATGAGTTCAATCACCAGTACTGGAAAAAATAAAAAATAAAGCCCTGCATCTGCAACTTAGAAATCTAGATTTTTGTTTAACCCTCTTTATTCCAAATTGTTTGTATTTCTTTGTCATTTTTAGCAAATCTCAACACCAGGAAAGAAGATCTTGGAATTAGGAATAACATTCATTTCTGAAGATACAAATTTTACTAAGCATTGTCAAGTGTATTTTGTGACAAATCAAACAAAGCCCAGTAATGTCCTGGTTGTGCTGTTACTAGAATCAAAAATAGATCAGCCAAAAAAGAAAGATCAGCTGGGTGTGGTAGCATGCAACAGTAATCCTAGCCGTTGGGGAAGTTGAGGCAGGAGGATCGCAAATTCAAGACCAGCCCGAATAATTTAGTGAGACTGTCTCAAAGTTCAGAGGCTCTGAAAGAGGAGTTTGTTTGAAGAAACATCTGATGTGCCAGGTGTAGTGGCACATATGTATAATCCCAGCACTCAGGAGGCTGGGGCAGGAGGATCACCACAAATTCAAAACCAGCCTGGGCTACATAGTTCAAGAGCAGCCTGAACTACACAGTGAGACCTTAACTCAAAACTGAGAAAAGAGAAATATCCACCGTGCTTGGTGGATATGTGGGCAAGGGAGAAAGGAAGAGGTGAGGTCAGAGCCTAGCGGGGCAGTTTTGATTAGTTTTAACAAAGGATGATCCGACTTAACTTTGTAGCTTACAACCCAGGGGTTGTGAGTATATTTCAGAGTTGTACAGGTATCACCAGAGTCAATTTGATAATATTTTCATCACCCCAACAAGAAACTCTATACCCAGTAGCACTGACTGCCTGCCTGACTGTGTAGAGAGTAGATGGAGGCCAGATCACACCGACAGGATGTGTCAAAGCTCGGACCAAGAGACTTATGAGGGGAGGCAGGCCACCTGTGGCATCAAGAGAGGCACCAACAGGTTAGTAATCCTGAGACCAAGTCCTGGGACTGTCCTCCTGCCTCAGCCTCCTGAGTAGTTGGGATTATAGGCATTTGACATCACACCCTGCTCTGAAAACAGTTTGAAAGACTAAGATGCTAACTCTTAGAGGTTTTGGGTCTTTCTGTTTCGTTTTGTTTTCACTGATGTGCCTGGCATGTAGAATGTGCTCAGTAAATGTTTGACTAATGAATGAATAAATTCTCAGTGTTTGCATTAGTTTGCTATTTTTCCTGTATTACCACTAATTAGCAAGGCATGAGGGTGTACACTTGTATTCCCAGCACTGTGGGAGGATAAGGCAGGAGGATCTCAAGTTCACATCAGCTGGGCAATTTAATGACTTAGTGAAGCCTCATCTCAAAAATAAAATTACAAAAAAGATGGACTGGGGATGTAGCTCAATGTGAAAACCAGGTTTGATCCCCGGTTCCCAAGGGAAGATGGTAAAAAAGGCTACAAATTTAACAGTTTAAAATAACACAGCTTTTGTTACTTTACAGTTTAGGAGGTCACAATTGTAAATGGTCTCTCTGAGCTAAAACCAAGGTGTCAAGGATTGAGTTCCTTCTGGAATCGCTAGGAAGAGGCAGTGTGCTTGCCTATCCTGCTTCCAGAGGCTGCCTGCATTCCGTGGCTTGTGGCTCTTCCTCTGTTTCAAAGCCAGCAGCTTAGTGTCCTCGTGTCTGACCCTGACTTCTGCCTCTCTACACAGGGGACCTTGGCATTACATTAAGTCCAGCCGGAAAACCTGGGATCACTCCTTAATATACTCACATCTGCAAGGTCCCTTTTGCCATGCGCAGCAGCAGTTCACAGGTGGGGATAGCTTTGGGCGCCCCTTGTACCATGATGTTCACTCTCATTTCTCATTATAATCCTATTACTGATCAGTTGTGTGATGTACATTTGGTCACAGGGACATGATGTGCCTTTCACCTTCAAGGCATGATCAGGTCACGTGGGCTGAGTCCTCATGAATGTATCAGTACCTTTGTTGTTTCTGTGCGAGTGGGTTTTTTGAAACAAGTGCTTGGGTCCCTCAGTACCTCTTATCACCCTCCCTCACTAGAGGTGGCCTCAATACGAACGTTCTACCTCCAGGACTGTGGGCCAAAAACTTCCTGCCAGAGCAGCAAAATGGACCGATGTAGCTGCCAAGGTGAACAAAGCTAAAGATAATGCACTTGATTTGAAAGCAGTAGAACAAAGAAGTGCTGTCAGCTATTCGGACAAATAGTTTGGGCTCTGTGTTGAGCCGGGGAAATGAAAAGCACTATGTGACGATCGATAAATAGCCATTAAATAGATGGCAGGTTAACGTGCAGTAGATTAAAGGAAAATCACTTAGTTTCTAAAAAAGCATTTATACATCTGAGTTTGTCTTTGCTATTAGTATCCTGTAATAATCTTAACTGTGTGAGAAGTGTTTTTATAAACTGCACAGCTCATCTAATGTAATAAAGCCTTGCTGTCCTACTTGAAGCAGCTTAAGTAGTGCTATATAAACTACAGAGGCACAGCAGTAGCTAATGGATGTGGCTCAGGGTCATAGGGGGCAACAACAGTGTGCTTCTCTTCTCTGAAACTCTCAGTGCCAACCTGCTGCGGCAGATCCTGTTTATAAACTGGCTTTTAAGCGTTTAGGCAGGTTAAGATGTGGGTTAGTAACCTTCCTGGTCGATACTATGTTTCCAGGGAAGGGGGAGCTGGTGAGCGCTGTCACCTTAGTTCAGTTGGCTATAACAAAAAGTACCACAAAGTAGACCTTTATTTTCTCAGATCTGGAGGCTGAGCGCTGTCACCTTAGTTCAGTTGGCTATAACAAAGTACCACAAAGTAGACCTTTATTTTCTCAGATCTGGAGGCTGGAAATCCGAGATCTGGGAACCAGCCTGCCCTGCTTCTGGTGAGGGCTCCTTACTTTGCTTTCCAATGGCTGCCTGCGTGCTGTGTTTTCACAGGGTGGAGAAAGGTATCAAGAGGTTCAGATCTCTTGCTCTTACAAGGCTGCAGGCTGTCGGATTTAGCATGAATTTTGAACCATACACGTCACCCACAGCAGTTGGGTGGCTCACGTGTCCTGCCCTGCTTTTCTGGAAGTTACCAGCCCATTAATGAAGCCTCGCTATCTGGGGCAGCCAAAAGGAAAGCATTCTCCAGTGGTGCTCTGAGTTCCTGCACAAAGCCCTGTCCCAGGGCCCCAGGCTCAGTTTTGTAGCTCATCTCCGTGGCCTTGTCATGGGGCAGAGTCCTAGGGGTTTCCCAAAGCTGAGACAAGCTAACCCACCCTAACTGTAGCATGTTTGCATGGAAAAACAATTTTCAGGATTAGTCAGTAAGAAGCACAGGTATGGTTTTTATAGGCAGAAATTAAAAAGTACACAAAGAAACAAAGGACAGGCCCTCAAGGACAGGCACAGTATTTCCTGGAACAGGGAACATTTATGCTTCTCTTGAGGCAGTGGAAACACCCCAGAAATGTAGTAGCATATTATAGGTATGAGTTCAGTTTTTTTCTCTCTTCAGATAAATAATTTGAATTGTTTCAACCTGTTTCTCAGTTAAGGTTCCTGCTCTTTACTTTCTCAAGCCAATCTGTGGCCTTTGAGTATCCCTGAGGAATTCTGAGTGTGATGGGTCTGGATAGAAAAGAGGTTGACTTCAACCAAGGGAATGCTGGTACCAGTCACTTCCGGTGACTTTGGCTGGGTCATAGAAACTGCAGTGTTTTAAATGTACAGTGTTTTTTGTTACGTTTTCTTTGTTTCTCTTTTTTTTTGGTCCTGCCTTAGTGTCGGACAGCAGCTAGGTGGTGATTGTCCTTAATTCTTGGAGACAGGTTCACACCATCCTGCTGGGCAGGTGTGTTTCTGGTGCTTCGCAGAACTGTTTTACAGAGCAGGTGTTAGGGTTGTTAGGGTGGTCAGGGTCTCAGTGATCTGGGGAATGGCTGGCAAGAATTACAGGAAGGAGATGATGTTTCTGCCTTGGAAGGGAATTGCATGATGCCTACTGAGGTTTGGGGGCGAGCTGGCTGTGGGTGATACAGGGGTCCTTAGCCAGAGATGCCAGGCTGCCTGGGTGGGAGGGATTCCTGGGCGTCAGCACTGTAACAGGTGCACTTTTACTAGGGAGCAGCAGTACCTACTGACTGGAAAGGTGCTTTTATTCTTTGGTGGAGGAGAAACAGTAGTATATGTATGTATTAGTTTTATATCTACAGTATGCCAGGTTGTATTTCCATATAAATAGTATGTTTAATTTTTAAGCCTGGGATATGAATATATTTAATCACTTTATATTCCATATTGCATGACTTCAGGCTGCCCTCAAACTCAGAGCAGTTCTTTCTCAGTCTCCCGGGTGCTAAAATTTCAAGTATGTGCCACCACATCCGGCTTTAAATGTGTTTTTAGACAGAATTTTCCAAACACTATCAAAATAGCTCAGCAGTATTATAACTGATGCTATAAAGCCGGGCATGGTAGCACACTCTTGTAATCCTAGCACTCAGGAGGCAGAGGCAGAAGGATAGCTGTAAGTTCGAGACCAGCCTGGGACACACACATTTGACTTCCAAATTACCCTCTAGAAAGGTGGCTTCCTCCAGTAGTTTGTGTTCTGACTGGGAGTACGGGGTGGGGCCTTTGAAATGATGTCCTCATAACCCCACACTGCTCAGGAGCTTGGAAGGTATGTCTGGGGCTTTCATATCCAAGTCCTTGGTGTGGGCAAAGCCCCCTTAATGTGACCCCACATAGCTGTAACTGCCATTGTGCTTATAACCTTTCTGCTTCAGTAAAGCCCATGGGTTTTAATCAGGGCAATTTCATCTCCTGGGGGACATTGGGCAAAATATAGAGATATTTTCAGAGTCACACTGGGAAGAAAGGTGTTGCCAGGTGGGGCAGCCCTCCCCACAAAATGTCCCCTGCTGGAAATGGCAGCAGTGCATGTAGAGAAGTCTGCTGGGTTAAGCTGGGTGCTGATCTGTAAGATTGCCTGCTCCTTCCCTCCCCACCCCTTGCCCAGGGTGACAGGGCTTAATCTGATCTGTCCCCTTCATTCTTTCATGTGAATAGCTGAGGAGCTGTCTTAGGATCCTGCACGCTTGCGTAGGCTCACTGGAGAAAAATGCCATGTTGGCCAGGGATTTAGCTCAGTGGCATAAGCGCCTGCCTTGCAAGCATGCAGTCATGAGTTCGATCCTCAATACCAAAAAAAAGAAAGAAGGAAAGAAAAGAAAAATGCCATGTCTCCCACTTGGCAGATGTAAAGTCCCATGCAGGCGGGGTGGTATTGTTTTAATGGGTGGCTCGTGCATAGCTTTGTATACGCAGTTGGTGATCAAATACTTTAACACTGGCTGGGAGTGTGGCTCTGAGCTTAGTAGTAGAGCGTGTTCTTAATATGCTTGCATGAGGCCCACAATTTAATCCTCAACATCAAAAAGCAAAAGCAAAATTAACGCCTGAATTTCAGCCGTTTTAATGAGTAGAGCTGAGTTTGGTGGTGCATACCTGTAATCCTAGCATTCTGAGATAGAGGCAGGATTGAGGATTCAAGGCTGGCCTGGCTTATAAAGCAAGACTGTCTCAAAAAACAAACAAAAAAAGTGAATAGATATTCTTTATAGGACTCAGCTCTTCTAAGTTGCCTTTAAGCCAAACATTTCTAGTTTCTGGTGTTTATTTCCTATCTTAAGGAGCTTTGATATCCTAACAGGAGGTGATGGTTTGATGTTTACTGGATCATTAAAATGATTGTAGAAAGAACTGTACAGGTTTTCCAATTTAAAGACTGAATAATCAAAAAGGCAAGAAAATAGTTATCAGTTGCATAGTACCTTGTCAATCAGCAAATTATTTATGTCTTTTTTTTGTGGGGCTGGGGATTGAGCCCAGGGGTCTTGGGGTGCTAAGTTTGTGATCTACCACTGAGCTGCACCCCCAGCCCCCTACTGCTTTTTAAGACTTGCTATATAGTCGAGGCTGGCTGTGAACTCAATAGCCATCCTCCTGCCTCAGCCTCTCAATCTGGAATTACAGGTGTTCGTCACTGTGCCTGGCTGTTTGTTTGTTTGTTTGTTTTATAGATCTTGGCAAACCTTCCTTTCATTTGGAAAGTAAAGGTAGATAATCAGTGCTTGGTCAGCTTTTTCTGTAACTAGGCCAGAAAGCCAGTATTTTAGGGCTTGTGGGCCATGTAGTCTTTGTCCTTGTTAACCAGCTCTGCTCTTATAGTTGGGAAGCTGACAGGTGGTAACCTCAGTAAACAAGGATGGGTTCAAAGAAGTTTTTGTATATATGGGTCTTAATCCACAGCCACAACATTTTATATATAAAACAGGCAGTGAAGCTGGGCATGGTAGCATGAAGGATCACTGTGAGTTCGAGGCCAGTGTGGGCTACATAGCAAAACCTTGTCTCAAAAAACCCAAACAAGGCCAAAACAAAAAAATAGGCAGTGCTTGTGCATAGTTTGCTGGCCACTCTAAACCTGGCAGTGTTTGCACACTTGACTGTTGAACCCATCTGTGTAACTGAAACAGTCTGAAAATGAACCAAATGGGCTTGAAGGCCACTTTTCGAGGATTGCACTGTGTTAAAGAATAACCACAGCCTGTCCTTCTGTCCCCCCACAGAGATGTGGTATGGCGTGTTCCTGTGGGCACTGGTGTCCTCTCTGTTCTTTCACGTCCCTGCTGGATTACTGGCCCTCTTCACCCTCAGACATCACAAATATGGTAGGTTCATGTCTGTAAGCATCCTGTTGATGGGCATCGTGGGACCAATTACTGCTGGAATCTTGACAAGTATGTTAGACATTAAATACCAGTCAAAAACATTGATGTGACTACTCAGTTCATTTCAGGACTCGTTTTAGAAATACATCAGAGGGATTAATAAAAGCCACAGGTCCTATTTTTAAATGTATTAGTCTTTTTCTCACACCTAAGCCCCTTTTATTTGGCCAATCTCTTTGGCTTCCTGAGCCAGGTTTTAGTCTATATTAAGCTTTGTGAGACAGGCCACTGGGAAAGAAAAGTCTCTGTCTTCTTTGAAAGCAGTGCTCCTTTCTAATTTGGCCAAGACTTAACTGTGGCATTGCAAAATAGTTGATTAATTATTTCTATCATTGAGGTGTAGTTACTTTAAGGATGAAAGAATAATTCTAATAATAAGGATTCTTAGCCAGGCACATGCTTCTATTCCCAGTACTGTGAGAGGCTGAGGCAGAAGGATCACAAGTTTGAGCCCTGCCCAGGCAATTAAGCAATTTATCAAGACCTGGTCTCAAAATAAAAAAAAGAGCCTGAGGATGCACCTCAGTGCAAAGGCTCTGCATGCAAGCCCTAGCAATGCCCCCTGAAATAAAATACATGTTTAGAAAAGCATCTGATTTGAGGGCTCAGGAGATGCCTGCTTACTCAGTGGTAGTTGCCTAGCGTGTGCAAGGCCTTGGTTTCAAGTCCTAAGGAGAAAAAAGAGAAAAAATACCTGATTGTGTTCAGGGAATTGCCGTCTGCCCCCACCCCAGGGCCTCAGAACTTTCGTATTTTGAGATAGGATCTCACTATGTAGTCCAGGCTGGCATTGAACTTGAGTTTGTAGTCCTCCTGTCTCAGCCTCCTTAGTGGCCACCACACCGGCTGCCTGAGGACTTTCTGATTAAGAAAAAAATTAATGTAGAACTGGAATAATATAGATATTAGTATTTCCTTAGCTTTTTAAAAATCAGTGTATGTTTGTGATAAATAGTAGTTAACATTTGTTTTGGGGAAGTGGTACATATATAAATCGTATCTTGATCATTTAAATTTTTTTTTTCTTTTTTGGTACCAGGGATCGAACTTAATAAGCTCATGCTTGCCAGGCAGGCACTGTGCCGCTGAACTGTATCTCTGGTCTCTTAAATTATTTTTAACGTTTTCTGTTTTTGTATTTTGGCTTTTGGTTTATGTCACAGGACATAATTACAGGGACAATAACAAGTTTAAGTTATATTTAAGACATACTTACATGTAAGTGAGTATACTTTATATGTAGAAAAATTATAAGCAAGCAAAAATTTTATATATATTAAAAATCACAATTTGCTTTTTGGTGTGTATACTAGGTATATATTTAAACATAATTAAATTCATAAAACATAGAAATGTAATATGCATACTAATGTGGGGGTTTTTTTTATTGTGAGTTTAAACTTTGAGCTTCAAGCAGAAATCTCCATTGCTCAAACTCCATTTGAGTTGTTTCTGAGACATGTCTGACTTTCTCTGTGTTCTCCTTTCATTGATTTGTTTTTTTCAGTGTTTTGTGTTTGTTTGTTTTGACAGGGTCTTACTATGTAATTCAGGCCGGCCTTGAACTCACTTGTAACATAGTCCAGGCTGGGTTCAAACTCACAGCAGTCGGTGCTCCTGCCTCAGCCTCCCAAGTGCTGGGACTGCAGCCATGCACTGTGGTGCCCATTTTTCTCTCTGTTCTACCTGTGTCACCTGCTGTTGTTTTAGACACCTCTGCTTCAGTGTCCACACTGAATTACGGGGCCTAGGACCTGCCTCAGTTTTCCCCGCCATAATACAAGGATGGCGCTGCCACTGCCCACCACTGAGCAACGACCGAGTGAGCGTGCACCTATGAAGTACTCACACCTGACGCATGGGACTGATGCACGAATCTCCATTTGTTTCTGTCTTTAAGGCTCTAGAATTGAGCTTGTTGCTTTGCCATTTGCTGTCTTCTGCTGGGCTGTTTCCTTCTTTCCATCATCCAGATCCCACTTTAGGGTGTAGTTCAGATTCCTTAAACTTCTTTCTACCCAACCCACTCTTTTACGGGGGCTAAATTATAGATAGGCCCAAAGAAACATGTGTTTTCAGATGTTAGAAACATCAGAAGCCACTGTGAGTAGGAGCCAGCCGAGGGTTGTTCATTGTTTCTTCATTTCCCTTCCTTTCTCTTCTTTTCCCCTCCCTTTCCTTTTTTCCTCTTCCCTTTCTAAGTTAATAGAGCAGGGCTGAAGCTTGCAGTCCTCCTGCCTTAGCCTTGCAGAAAGCTAGGAGTACGCCATGCCCAGCTGTTCTTCCTTACTGTTAAAGTGTGTTAATGTACTCATATCACTTTATAAAATGCATAGGCATTATTTACGATCTGTGGGATCAGACCCACGGCCTCGAATGTGCTAAGCACGTGCTTCACTGCTGTGCTGCATGCCATGTGGACATTCGATTGAAGCACCATGTATTACCTTGCATTACTAAAATCCGTTTCTATCTTGTGTCCCCAGCTAGATTCCGAATACCTTTAGAATAGGGCCACACCTTATAAAACATGGAAGTGAGCCAGGCATGGTGGCACAGTCCTGTAATCCCAGCATTCGGGAGGCTGAGCAAGAATTGCCAAGGGGTTTCAGGTCAGTCTGAACTACAACGCAAGACCTTGTTTCTTTTTTTTTTTTTTTTTTTTTGGTCTTTCTCGTTTTTATTGGTACCAGGGATCAAACTCACGACTGCCTGCTTGGCAAGGCAGGCGCTTATGCTGCTGAGCTAAATCCCCAGCCCCTTTTTTTAAAATTTTTTTTTTCATTTTTTTTTTAAGACCTTGTTTCAAAAAAAAAAAAAAGCAACATAGAAGCGCTCTAAAAGTAAATACCTGAATGAATGAGCAGTGACTAAGGAGATTTTTGTTTAGAGCATTGTGAGGTGGGAATGGTCATCTGGAAATGTGAATCTTTTTCAAAGTAGTGATGTGTGAACTGTCTTGGTTTGGTGCTGAATACTTACAGCAATGCAGGTGGATTTTTGGATAGATACAAACCTTGATTTCCAGGAAGTTACAGTGACTAGTGCAGTTAATGACAGAAAACAGAAAAGGCACCTTGGGTCCTTTGAATGAACAGCTTTAATGCAGTTCAGGCTGGCCTAGAGTTCACTGTGTAACACAGCCCAGGCTGGGCTTGAACTCACAGCAATCCTCTTGCCTCAGCCTCCCAGGTACTGGGATTATAGGAGTGCCTACCACACTGGCTACTCTTTCCTTTTCTTGAAAGGAACCCTGATACACTAGAAGGTGAAGCAAGAATTCCCTTTGGCATGGAACATTTTTTACTCAGACTCAGAAAATCGACTTTTTTTTTTTTTACTAAGAATGTATTAGGCACCTCTCAGATGCCAGACATGGAGCTAACTGGCGCGGGAATAAAGAGATGTTTTTGAGTTCGTGGGCAGGCTATGTACGAATTATCTTTGTCATCTATATTATTACCTCTAGATTATTTTACTCAGTAAATTAGGAGACTCAATTTCAGGGAATCAAATCAGAAAAGCTCATTTCAGTTATCTGCAAAGCATACAAAGAATACTTTAAAACTACTCAGCAGAAAGAATAGGGGAACAAAACATTTCTGTAACATTTCACTTGTAAAGGGAAAAAGCTTGAATGTTCTCCATGTAGTAGAATTTTAAGGGTGTTGTGTTCATGATTTTGTTAACCTTGACTTTTTCCGTCCTAACACCCTTGAATCTGGAACCAGGTGCTGCAATTGCCGGAGTTTACCGAGCGGCGGGGAAGCAGATGATACCCTTCGAAGCCCTCACTCTGGGCACGGGACAGACCTTCTGTGTAGTATTGGTCTCCTTCTTGCGGATTTTAGCAACTTTGTAGCATACACTGCTATGCTGTGAAATGGAACCTAAGTTTTATAGAATCCTCAGAAAGAAGATGTTACAGAATGTAGTGTTTTCTTAGCTCTCCGAGGGAAGCTGCTGGATGAAGAATATGACAGTCAGCCCCTTCTGCAGTTTGAAGCTGCAGTTGTCGAAGAGCTTGCAGACTCCTGTCATTCTCAAACCAAAACAAGTTTCTGTGGCTTTCTTTTCTGCAGAGCTTCCATTTCAGAAGTTTCCTGTACCCTTAACCACGCCAAGCCAGTGCCTCTGCTGGCCCCGTTGCACTGGGATTTGCCATATTTTGTGAGAAAATGTAATATCTCATATTTCAGAAACTATAGAAAATATTGGTTTATTTCACGTGAGCAAAGTATACTGTACTAAAACTTTAGTTAATCTCATCTTGATTAAAATTTGGCAAACTCTTCTTTTGCTACATTGAAGTACAACAAGTAGGAAAAATAGGTAGGTATTGGTTGAGTGTAGCTTTGAGAACAGATTTGGTGAAATAGAGCAGGAGAAGGAAGTGAAATATAATTAGGCCACTGTTAAAAAGCAGGTAACTACTGAGAACAGGACATTTTACAGAAAACTGTCTTTACCTCTGATTATTCAACAGATTTTAAGATACATGAATTTATTGTTGTGTACGTTTGATCGAAATAAGCTAGCTGAGTTGGTTTTTTCCCCCTTTTTTTCTTTTTAAGGGACAGGGTCTTATGTTGCAAGTGTGGTCCCAATTCTGGCTCAAGTGATCCTTCTGCCTCAGTCTCTTAAGTAGCACACACCATCACACATGGTTAAATTTTAAGATTTATTTATAAAGAATATCCATGCCAGGTTGGGGATGTAGCTCAGTGGTAAACACTTGCTTGGCATGCTTGAGGCCCTCGGCTGGCTCAATCCCCAGCACCACAAAAATAAAAGAATTCCCATGCCACCTTTTACTGTATTTTTAATTCTATTTATTTAGGGTTAGAAACATACATACCATCATTCAGGAGTTTGATGTGGAATTTTTAAGCTATATTGCTTAGGATACTCCCTGAATATTGAGCACAGATAAGACACTTCAAACATTCTGTTAATAGTTTTTCTTAGTAACTGTTTTTTAGGTAGCGCCTGAGAAGTTGCCGAGGTGCGGCTGAGTGGGAGGACCGACTGCCGCCTTGGGAGCGCGCTTGCTGGGGGCAGCTCTTCAGCTCCTGCAGGACTTCAGGCTCAGCCACAGAAAGTGCCTGACACTTCATGTTCAGCCATAGCCCCACGCTGCCCTTTACATTTTTATTCAAGAGAATTTATATCATTAAAGGGAGTTAAATGCCAGTGGCTTTTTAAAAACTCACTTCCTATCTATTTTACTTTTTATCCTACTGCCTAACTTTCTTATGTGTTGGAAGGCCTGAAAACTGTGACCTTCAAAGCAGAAAGGATTGGAAAAATGAAGGAATTTGATCTTTGCCACCTAAGCTTTTTCATGTAGACTACAATCAATGTTGTTGTTGCTATCTGTTAATTAACTCTAGTAATTAGCTTCTGGTGATTAATATTTTTAAAGACAAGTTTTTTTTTATGAGATTAAGGTTAACCTTTAAGGTTACATGGAGATGAATTATTCCATTTGTACAATATACACTCTGGCTTCTGATTAAAAGTAGCCAGAACCAATTTGCCAGAGAAGGTTACAAAGAAAATTGTGGAGAAATAAATTATAGAGAAAAATTACAAAGAGATCAGCAAAATTAATTGGACATTTCCTCCTGATAGCTCCCCACTCAGCATAATGACACTGACATTAGACCTGGTAGAAAGTTAAGGTGCAGCCCAGTGTCCTTTATTTAAGAAATGTAGTATTATAGCCTTTATTATGGGAATGATTTTGATCATCTCTTTATTAGCATTCTCCTCACCTAAAACATTATTTTAGATATAATCTCACAATTCAAACATGGTGCCTGTAGTTGGTGGGCCCCTCTCCCACTGAAATTTTTTGACTATATTGATCCATGATGCAAATGTAAGGTTATTTTTATTTTGAGTCCAGAGACAGAAATTTATGAATTTTGGAAGGTAAGAAAAAGCCGGCTGTGGTGGTGCACACCTGTAATCCCAGTACTGGTGAGGCTGAGGCAGGAGGATCATTGTGAGACCAGCCTGGGCTACAAAGCAAGTTCAAGGCCAGCCCAAACTGCATAGCAAGATCCTGCCTCAAAAAAATAAAACAAAAAACAAAGAGGGTAAGAAATCGTATGCATTTTGTTTGCATCTGTTTGATGTTTGATATGTTTTATTAACTCTTTAAAATGTACCGTGGAGTTACTGAACTGAGTGTTTCATCCATCCCACTCTGTGAAGCGTTCTTGTGTGAATAAATGTGCATAGACTCTGCGCTGAGCTGTGTAGCTTGAAATGTTTTCAAGGAGAAAGTGGCAGTGATGACTGGAGGATGTGTCCCGCTTTGCTTTTCTCTCTTCTGCACACCCCCCCCCCTTGTTTCTTTCTTGTCTCAGATGCCGGTTGGTCAGATGGGAGAATAATGGCGTTTGTGTTTAGTATTTTATCTTACATGGTTTTTTTTGAGATTTTTGCCAGCTTTTTTAAGAGAGGCAGCGCCCACTCCTGCCTCTGCTTCCACTGGCCCTTGTTCCTTTCACTTTCACTTTCTCTCCCTGCCTCTCTTCCTTCTAGGAGAGAGGGGAGGCAGCCTTCAACCATAAAAGCCGATTTCTTGCTTCTCTGGTAGGATTTGGGAGTAAAAGCATTTTGTGAAAAGCTTTATTTCTCATACAAAAGCACAGTGAATAGCACATGAGAAAGATGTCTCTCTGTGCTGTTGTTTTTTTGCAGCAAAAAACACGAACTGTTTAAAGCAGTGAGGAAATAGTTCGTGCAAATCCTCCTTACGTCTGTTCAGTTTTAAAATTTCCTCCGTGGCCGCCTTGACTACCCTCCTTCGAGTTACATTCCGGGTCCCTGGAGCCGCCTCCGGAGTGTGAAGCCCTGGTGCGCTCAGCCGTCCACACGCAGAAAGTCCTGCCAGGAACTTGCATTTCTTTTTTGTGCACTTTGTAAGGCTGGTGGTGACCAAAATCAGCTTTTTTGTGTTAGGTTATTTCACTAACTGCTACAGTCAAAATGATCAAATCTTTGTACAATAGAAAAGTATTTAAATTTTATTTTTCTACTGACATTTCTAATTCTAGTGTAAATGTTTAACAATAAAGAATTACTTTAAACTCTGTGAGTTGGAACTACATTTCTTTGTCAGTGGCCAGCAAGATTTAATCTTTTGTAATAAAGCCTTTTTAGTAACTGTTCAATTTGTTGTTTTTTGTTTTTTTTTTGTTTGAGACAGGCTCTTGCTGTTCAGGCCTGCTTTGGACTCACTGTGTAGCCCACACTGGCCTTGAATTTGCAGTGATCTTCCTGTCTTAGTCTCTTACAGTGCTGAGATTACAGTGGCACTATGCCCAACTTCCAAAGAGAAGGGTTCATACGATTCTACACTATGATGGCTAAATACTGGTAATGGTGTGTAAAAATTTGATCTCAGTAGTAAGTCCATCTGTTTAGCTAATTTAATGCCCTCAATGACATAATTTCTTTCTGGTTTGCCATCTCAGCAAAGCAGATTGTTTAATTTGTGTCCTTCACCTCATGATCATAAAATGGCTGCCACCGTTCCTGACACTGCAGAGAACAGCAGCCCATTCATTCTTTTTTTTAAAATTGAGTACAGTGCACTTACAGCTTCATAATTTTACACAGATATGTACATTTAGACAGTATCAATCATGTCAAGAGGTTTCTAGCATCCCCAGTAGGAAGAACAACAGGATACATACAGAGTTCAGCCAGGAACCCCTATGACACAACATGGTAGAAACTTTCAGTTTCTAAGGAAAACCAAAGATCAGAAGTGGAAAGCAGATGAAGGCCAGGGAAACCCCCTAAATAATGGTCAAGGTGGAAGTGATAACAAACTAGGGATGTCACAGGGAGGGGTTAGGAGTATCAGCCTCAGGGGCCCTGAACAAAGGAGCCAGTCATTGCTTGGTTTCAGCCTCTTTCTGTTTTGTGGAATTATGAGCCCAATATTGCCAGACTTTCCTGTTTTTTCAAGAGAAGCTAGAAATCTTATCTTGAGCCGCTCACTATCATTGATTGATTTAGGTGCTTGGGATTGACCACTGGACCTCTCAAATGCCAAGCACCGCGCCACCCAGCGTGTAACTAGTTTAGATTATATATATATATATATATATATATATATATATATATATATATATAAAACCCTTCATGGCAAACAGGACGTGTTTTTAAAATTGGATTTGGCCTGCTGGCCGTTTTTGTTTTTGTTTTTTTTTTTTTTTCTTAATCTCTTATCTGACACAACACAAAGCTGGTCCTATCCTGGTGACCTGTGCTTGAGCTGCACCCAGGGCCAGGAGAAGGGTTTCACGGGGCACCGGAGGAAGAGGCTGCCAGAGGAGGCCAACAAGCCCCTGTCCACGGGCTTCCCTTACCACGGGCTGCCCAAGGGAAATTAGCCCCACAAAAGTAAACTACCAAAGACGGCCCAGATTTCGCCTCTGTTTTTCTGTTTAGTCTCCCAAAGGCAAATCTGCCAAAATGTAAGAACCATAGATTGTAAACCAAAATATAAAAACTAAAACTGTAAGTAAAACACAAGAAAAAAATTTAGGGTTTGGTCTTGGGCAAAGTAATCTAAAATACAACTCCCAAAAGCACAAGAGACAAAACTAGATAAGTTAAAACTTCAAAATTAAAATGTGGTTCAAAGGATGCCATTAAAAAAGTGCAAAAACAACTCACAAAATAGGTATCTTTTAAGTCATACGGAACTGCTATGTGGGCTACATAAAATACAAATCAATATAAAGATAACCCAATATAAAGAACATACACTGGCTAATAAGGACATAGATAATGTTTAGTCATAAGAGAAATGCAAATCAAAGACTGTTTAAGAGACTGAGCATGGTGGTGTACATCTGTGATGTCCCAACACTGGGAGGCTGAGGCAGGAGGATGCAACAGCCTGAGCAATTTATTAACAGTGAAAACCTGTCTCAAAATTAAAAAAAAAAAAAACCCAACAATGTAGCTCAATGCAAAGGCCCCGAGTTCAATCTATAGTACTGCAAAAAGCAAAACTACAGTGAGAAGCCAGGTGTGGTAGTACATACCTATAATTCCTGCTACTTGGTGGGCTGAGACAGGAGGATCATGAGTCAGAGCTAGTAAGACCGTATCTCATAAGAACAAGACAAATCTTCAATGAATGAGATGGCACTTATTGTCCTATATTTTAAAAGACAGGTCTGGCAGGGCCCGGCAGAATGGTACATGACTGTAATCCCAGCACTCAGGAGGCTGAGGAAGGAGGATTGCAGCAAGTTTGAGGTCAACCTGGGCTACATAGTGTGTTCAAGGCCAGCCTGAACTTTATATAGAGAGGGAGACCCTGTCAAAAAAATAAAACAAATAATGAAATGATCTGACAAGAGTATAGAGAAACTGCAACCCTCATAAACTGCTGGTGAGATCATAAAGTGGTACAACCACTTGAGAAAACACTTTGGCAGTTCCTCGGAGGTAAAATAATTACAATTAAGTAATTCCACTTCTAGGATGTTCCGTCTCTAAGAGAAATGGGGCTATACGTGGAACTTTGAAAGTGATATGCTAAGTGACAGAAGCCAGCCACAAAAGACCATCTAGTCATATACTGTATGATTACATGAGATACTCAAAAAAGGCAAATTTATAGATCCTGGTAATCAGGCAGGATGGTAAGTGATTACTAGTATGAAAGGAGTTTCTTTTTGGAGTAATGAAAACTTTCCAAAATTGATTTGGTAATGATTGCACATGCCTTTGAATATGAATATATACAAACACACAGAGAATTGTGTACTTTAGGTGGGTAGATTTTATGAATTGTATGTCCATGTGGCTGTTTAAAATCCTTGCTGGTAATCAGGCAATTACAGGTATAGAGCATTACATCAAATAATTCCTCTATTCCTGATTTAGGTAACTAGGACTGAGTGACTCAAAGTCTAAAATATTGGAGCAACTTTTGGCAAAAAAAAGAACTGTCACATCTTACATAACATGAAAAAAATACTGTCACATAGTCAATGTCTCATCTGCATTTATGATTATTATTTCTCACAATTGGATTATAACTAAATGCTTTAATCTGAAAAAATGGTAAAGATGATGTGTTCCTAAACTATCATATATATTAACTCAAGGAAAGATTCATGCAGTTAATATTTGCTTTTCAGAATATAATTCATCCTAGTTTTTGTTTGTTTGTCTTTTTGGTACTGGGAATCAAACTCAGGACCTTGTGCTTGGCAGGTGGTGCTTATGCCTCTGAGCTATATCCCCAACCCTCTGTTTTGTTTTTTTGAGACAAGGTCTCACTATATAGTTCAGGCTGGTCTTAGATGTACTACGTAGCCCTGGCTGGCCTTGAACTCACTGTGATTCTCCTGCCTCTGCCTCTTGAATGCTGGGATTACAAGCATGTACTACCTCACCGGGTTTTGATTCTAGTTGTTCATAGGAGTTATGATTATAAAGTTGTCTCTACCACTAAATTAGCAATACTGAACCATTGCTTGTCGGTGAGGTTCCTGTGAGCCTCAAGTCACAACGCTTTTGCCAGCTGATGAGTATATAAACCGGTTTTATGTGTGTTTCTGTTGAAAGACACTTTGTCATAGCTGGGGGTTGTGGCATCTGCCTGTAATCCCAGCACATGAGAGGCTGAGACAGGGAGATCGCAGTGACTTCAAGATCAGTTTGGGCTACACAGTGAGTTTAAGGCCAACCTGAACTACATAGTGAGACCCTCCCTGTCTCAAAAAAACAAAACAAAAAAAGATACCTTATTTAGTATATATATTTCTTACAAATAAGATACATGTATTTTTAATGAAATAAAAATTCAATTACAGCATTTTGGTAATGTGCTTTTCTGTACTGAAATTGTGTCACTTTGTCCTATGGTTATGGTCACATACATGCTGCCCACATGGATAGAACAGTCAGAACAGAGTCTGATATACTGCACAGTTCTCATGGTAAATATATACAGCTGTGAACACATATTGTACAGCACAGTAATAAAAACCAAGTCCTGAAAAAAAATTACAAAATTAAGCATTTAAGTCTTTATAAAAACATCAAAAGTTTACTGGGGCTGCAGGATGTGATGCAACAGGGCACACTGGGATCAAACCATTTTTTTTTCCTTTTGATCAAACCATTTCTTAACACTTGCCCCCTTGAAAACCAAGGGCAAGGTCGGTGGACTTTATTATGCAGAAGAGGAAGAGGGTGACATGTCAGTATCTGGCAGTTCCACCTTAAAAGTTTGGTGGCTGCTACTCCTTGACTGGGAACATTCTGAGATGGAACATGGCATTGTCCGCTGGGGATTTAGCTCAGTGGTATAAGTGCTTGCTTGGCAAGCATGACATTGTGGGTTTGATCCCTGGTACAAAAGAAAAAGACAAAAGAAAATGACATTGTCTTTTACTGCTTGGCTTTCTGCCTCATCTCTAAGCATTTCACTATAAAGGGGCAAAGGCAGTGGATGTGAGGCACTTGAATGTAAGGCTGTGATTGGTAGTACTCCTCCATATCATTAAGTTTTCTCCAAGGCAGAATTCCATTCTTACATTTTGGCTGTGGTGAAAGCGACAGCTCTTGGAGTCTCCTACTGATTTCTTTCCCCAGCCTGGTCATTGCTGACTCCAGCGCCTTATTTTGCCATCTCACCCAGCTCTTCATTGGTGGATTCTAATTGCTTTCTCTGCCAAGATTTCCTCCAAGTCTTCTTTGTCATGTCATCAAAGCCTTCTCCGCTTACTTGCCAGGTGATACACATTGTTGTTGACACTGTTCTTTTTTTTTTTTTTTTTTTCGTCTTTTTGAGACAGGGTCTCTCTATGCAGTTCAGGCTAGCCTTGAGCTCACTTTGTAGCCCAGGCCTGTCTCAAACTCAAAACGATCCTCCTGCCTCAGCCTCCTGAGTGCTGGGATTACAGGCATGAGCCACCACGTCTGGTTTTGACACTGTTCTTTACATTGCCTGCTACACCATCAAAGCCTTTGAAACTTTCCACACAATCTGGCCATTTTTCCACAGTTATTAATAATAGCTGGTTTGATGCCATCCCAGGCTGCGCCAGCATAATAACATTGCAGATATCGACTGACTTCAAACAGTCTATCATGGTGGTTTCTTTGTCGGCCTCCAGAGTCTCCCAAGCCTTGGTGTAAAGCTCCCTGTGTGCCTTGAAAGTTTTTACATGTCCTGACAGAGGGGCTGGAAGAGAGATGTAGTGTTTGGGGGCATAAAAACAACTTGTATGTTGGTGTGCCTGTTTTCCAGTTTTTTGTGAATAAAACCTTTGAGGCACGGTTTCTGGTCTGGAGATAGTGTTCCACTTCTGGGATGAAGCAGTTGTGGAACCAATCCAGTATCATCTATGCTTTTTTATTCTGCCTCCAATGGACTGGCATGTGGTTCCCGGTTTTCCCCTTCAGTGTTTGTGGATTAGGGGTTCGGTGGACCAATAGGGGTTTGCACTTAAAGTTGCCCTTGGCATAGGTGCGCAAAAGCAAGGTTGTGTGATCTTGGGATGACTTAAAAACAGGGACTCTTGAGGCCATTTGCATTATATGTTCGTTGGCCAAAATCTTTGTAAAATAAACCAGTCTCATCAGCGTTGAAAACCTGCTCTTCCACATAGCCTTTTTCCTGTATAACACTTTGCAAATATTTTAAAAATTCTTCTGCAGCCTCCAGATCTGCAGAACTTGACTCTCTTGCAAGTTTAACTTTGTCCACACCGTATCACCTTTTGAATCTTGTGGGCCAGCCTGTACTCGCCAAGGGTTTAACATTTCTCTGACCCTAGGGCATGCGACAGTAAATTTCTTTGGCTTTCAAGCTCACAATACTGTCCCCGAATCTCTTTTTATCCGTTGTCATCTCCTGAATCCACAAATTTATATTATAGCTTCGCCACGTACTATAGATATTAAGTTTTGCACTTTCCGGGGCAGCCTCACAGATCAGCGAATTTCCTTCTTTTGCTTGATGTATCGGACTGTAGATTCATTAACATTAATTCGCGGCCAACAGCACTGTAACTCACGCCTGAACGGAGTTTCTAACACACATATTTTTTCCAAAAGGCACATCACGGCCTTTTTGCGCTTAGGAACATTAGTTAGCATTTCAGCGTTACGCACAGCAAAATCAACAACAAAAAAGCACAGCGATGCAAAAAAAAGTAGCACTGAGTAGTCCGTGGAAAGATCTCGTTTACGAAAGAGCTGAATCCAAGAAGGCGGAGCCTCTGCCGCTTTCAGTTTCAACTGGGAAATGACACTCTGCAAGACTCCGGATTTTCGACCTCTGCGCATGCCTGGTAATAACTCCAGAAAATTCAGATTATTGCTTTTGGGGTTACGAAATAAAAATTAGTGGCTAAGCAAATTCGAAAATATAAAGCCACAAATAATGAGAATCAACTGTATTTCCAAAGATATATCCTTTTATTTAAAGATATTTACTCAACGCAATTGGGCAGGGCAAAAAGACTACAAGTCCCAGCATGCACCGCTTCCGGGCGCTTAGGGTTTTCCTCTGGAACCGAAAGCACGTGCGTCGAGGAGCAGCGAGCGGAAGTGTCGTTGCCGACAACGTGACATTGCCTGCGCATACTCAAACGGTGCCAGAGCCACCCTCGCCGCTGCTGCGGCTCTATGATCTCACCCTACAGCTCGGCCGTTTAGGATAGTTGCTGTGGTCCGGTGGGTTGCCCGGCCCCGAGCGCCAGGGACATGGAAGAATTCGATTCCGAAGACTTCTCCACCTCGGAGGAGGATGAAGACTACGTGCCGTCGGGTGAGCGAGTGTGCAAGGCGAGAGGCGTGTTTGCCCCGCCCCGCGCCTCACGTGAGGTGCGCCCGGCCCCCGCGGGCGTTGGCCCAGTGGCTGCTGTGGCTTGGGTGGCGCGCGGTTTGGAGTGTCCCCGGCTTGAGAACCTTGCGCCCTCTGCCCCGACGGGGCCCGGGCTTTGGGCGCAGCGGGTCGGCGCAGGGCTGCTGTGCCGGCAGGCTACGACCGCCGCCGCCTCGTGGAGCGCGGGAACCGTCCCGGGACCGCGGCTCAGTCTCCGGCCACCGGCCGTCCTGCAACCATTCGGCTCCTGGAAGTGGTTTTCAGACTTCCAGGCCACCTTTCCTTCCAGGACAGATGCATCCTTTCCAGCCCTCGGGAGGGGCCTTGTTAATTAGATAAGGTTACAGGCGTGCGCCCCGAGACTTTGTGTTTTTGGATAGGCATCTTGAGTTAAACGAGGTCAGGATGGATTTTATGACGTAGACCTACCCTACCCGAATTCTCCTTTTTCAGACTCAGCCATCTCATTCAAGGCATCTATACTCACACTGAAGTGAACAAGCACATCCCGTCCCCCGCACCCCTCCCTCCGTCGTCGTTACTCTCACCATTAAGTTCCCTGTACCTACTTTGAAAATTACTCTGACCACTTGCTCTCCAGTCTCACTGCTATGGTTTTATTTCAAAGTAACATTACCCTTCGCTAGGATTGTCCATATCTTTCGTATGAGTTTCCCTGATACTCACTTATTCCAACATTGGTCTTAGCTGATACCCAAAGTGATTAAATTTGAAAACTAGTTTGCATCTTCTTTCTTTCTTTCTTTTTTTTTTGTCTTTTTCCTTTTTTTTTATCGGTACCAGGGATCGAACTCACGACTGCCTGCTTGCAAGGCAGGCGCTTATGCCGCTGAGCTAAATCCCCAGCCCAACTAGTTTGTATTTTAATCAAAGCTGTGTATGCATATGTTTAAATACAGTTAAGCTTGCTTGCTTGCTTGCTTTTTGAAACAGGGTTTTGCTGTGAAGTTCAGGCTGGCCTTGAATTCCTTTTGTAACTCAGGCTGGTCTCGAACTTGCAGTGATCCTCTTTCCTCAACTACCTCAGTGCAGGAGTTTCCAGTGTGTGCTAGGGATTGCTTGGAAAATTAGCAGTGCCCACCTGCCCACTGTCCCTAATTAGCCTTCCTAAAGGAAAGTGCTTTTCACATTTTCAGTTTGCTGTTTTTGTTGTCTTTTTTTTTTTTCTTTTCTCTTCCTCCTCCTCCTGGCTTCATACCTGCAGTGATCTCCCACCTCAGTCATCTGAGTGCTGAGACTGCAGGTATGCACTGCCTCCCCTTGCCGATTTTGATTTTGAAAATTGCTTAGCTGTTCATTGTGTGTGTGTGTGTGTGTGTGTGTGTGTGTGTGTGTGTGTGTGTCAGAGCTGGAACTCACGACCTTGCCAGGCAGGCACTTGTGCCACTGAGCTAAATCACCGTCCTTGTGTTCATGTTCTTACTACAAATTTCAAAATTGAATCATCACGCAAGATACTTAGATTCACTAGATTTTCACCTTTTATGTCTGTTTGTGCCTTCTGCCTCAGTTGTCCTGGTTACGTCTCTGACTGTTGCAATCTTAAATCCTTGGTCACCACCACTTACTTGCATTGCAAAGACAAAACCAGCCTTTTAACTGGTTGTGGTGATACATTCTTGTAATCCCAGCTACTCAGGAGGCAGAGAGAGAAGGATCCAAAGTTTGAGACCAGCCTGGGCAATTTAGAGAGACTGTCTCAAATTTTTTTTTTTTTTTTTTTGTCTTTCTCCTTTTTTATTGGTACCAGGGATCCAGCTCACTGCCGCTGAGCTAAACCCCCAGCCCCTGTGCAAGGCAGGCGCTTATGCTGCTGAGCTAAACCCCCAACCCCTTTGTCTCAAAATTTTAAAAAAGGCTGAGAGTGTACTCAGTGGTAGAACATCTCTGGGTTCAATCCCTGGTACCACAACAAACAAACACAATAAAAAGGGATGGGGAGCCGAGGATTTAGCTCAGTGGCACAAGCGCCTGCCTGGCAAACGCAAGGCCTGAGTTCGATTCCCAGTACCAAAAAAGGGGGGTGGGGTGGGATGGGGATGTGAAGGCCTCTGGTTCTATTCAGGTATCTTGGGGAAAAGTCTGATTTGTTTTCTGATGGGCAACCGTTTGTCTCTGGAAGCTAATAGGACACCTCTCCCCACGCACATACCTTCTCTCTCAAATTAAGGTTTTTGATACATTTTAGGTGTACCCCTCCTTTTTTTTTTTTTTTTTTTTTTTTTTTTTTTTTTTTTGGTAAAGTGCTCAATCATTGATCTACATAGTGTATAGTGAATGTCAAACATTTTATGCTAAGCATAATTTTTGGGGGATGGTATTGGGGATCGAACTCATGACTGTGTGCTTGCAAGGCAGGTGCTTATGCCGCTGAGCTAAGTCCTCAGCCCCTTATTATTTTTTTTTTTTTAAGCATCAAGGTCTTGCCATGTTTCCTGAACTGGCTTTGAACTGGATTCCCCTTACCTCATTCTTCTAAGTAGTTGGAAATACAGCGTTTGCCAGTACAAAAATAGTGACTGTATTCCTGCCTTGTGGAGAAGTGAATCTTGTCAAATGCCCTTTCTCCATGTAGTTGTTTAATTCATTTATTGTGGATATGGTAGATTTTATGGTTTAATGATAAATTTAAAAATTTTGAAGACATTTCTGGGATAAAGCTCACTTGGTCATGATGTATAATTTTTATAACTTGCTTAATTAGTTTTGATAATATGTTGAGGATGTTTTTGCTTGTTTACGACAGGCTCTCACTTTGTAGTGCAGACTGGCCTTAAACTGATTATATAGCCCATGCTGGTCTTGAGTTTGCAGCAACCCTCCTGCCTCAGCTGTCCCAAGTGCTGGGATTACAGGTGTGCACCACCACACCTGGAGGGCTTCATTGTCTAAAGGGATGTTATTCTATTTTTTTTTCCTTCATAGTCTTTCTGAAATTTGCTGTTGATTGTTTTTTGTTTGTTTGCACAATTAATAATTGAGTGTCTTTTTTACATGTTTCAGATCTGGAACCATGTGTATCTTTTTATCTGAACTGTCCGCAGTGTTTGCTTCCCTTTCCTTGTGTGTGTATAGGTGTTACTGGGAATTGAACCCAGATGTTTCATATTGAGCTACATGCCAATATATTTTATTTTCATTGAGACAGTCTCACTTGCTATGTAGTTCAGTGACACTGGAGGGATAAACAAGAAAATAATGTAAATAGCCTAACCCTAAGCTTACTATTTTAGTTAAAAGTATATCACTGGAACATTTAGATCTAACTTCCCATTTACAGAGAATTCGAGGAACAGAGAAACAAACTAAAACACCACCACTCTTGAAACAAATCAGACCAGTCTGGAAGACAGTTCAACACATAAAATGTAAATGGTAAATCAGTGCCAATGCAGAGAAGGGAGTACTGGACTGAGACAGACCTAAGAGGTGGAACAACCTGTTTGCATCTAATTCACTGTGATTTGGACAGACAAGCTATTGTGAACCATTCTTGTTTGGGGTCCCTGGGAAGGTTTGAAAACAGTCTGTATATTAGGTGTGATGAAAATTTACCAAAATCAACAGGTAGAAATTACTCAGTGAGTAAAGCAGGCTGCAGAGTAACATGGAAAATTTGACTTCAGGCTTGGGGTAAAATGTAAAAATCTACAGCTGGGTGTAGGAAAAAACAAGGTGAGGTATTCATTAAGGACTGATACTAATAATCTCTGAGTAGCTGGAATGTAATGCTTCTATTTTTTTATGCTTAGTTGCCTGCATTTTCTGATTTTTTTTTTATTAAACATAATCTGTTACTTGACAAAGTCCTTGAACCACTCATATTTTCTGATTTTCTACAGAGCTTGTGTAGCACCTTAGTAAATTTTCATCATAAAAATGGACAAATAGCTGGAGTTGGTGGCACAGGCCTGTTTCCAGCAGGGTGAGAGGCTGAGGCAGGAAGATCCCAAGTTCAAGCCCAACTGAAGTGTTTTAGTAGGTTAGCAAGCTCTTGTCTCAAAAAGTTGTTGTTCTGTTTGTTTTAAATTACATTGGAGACCAGGTATGGTGATGGATACTTGTAATGCCAGCACTTGGGAGGCTGAGGCAGGAGGACTGCCACAAGTTCCCAGCCTGGGCTACATAGTGAGTTCAAGGCCAACGTATATATTGAGACCCTAAGTACCCATTCAGTTATAAACTCATGGCATCCATGGTTTGACCCTTCATTGAAGATAGCATCCTCATGAGCCAGTTGCTTTTCTTACCCCTCAACACTGCTGCTTTGGGGATCAGCCCTGACTGTGTGAACATGGATCTGGAGGAAACTTCATTTAACCCATAACAGCTATAGTGTCTTTATGGGGTCTTCCAGAGGAAGCATACTTCACACGACCGTCTTAACCCGGAACTGCGTTTCCCCTCCGAAAACCTTTTCATTTGTCCTCGCCTAGGGTTTGGGACACCATGCTGATTTCTATTTTGGAACCCTTACATTGGCTTATGTTTGTATTGGCTTGAATGTATATTTTCCAGATTTTCACATGCCTGGCTTCCCTATCTTTTTAAAAATTTCTGCCATCATTTTTTTAGTTTTCAGATTTTTTGTGTTTTTTTTTCCCCCTTGAAGTTTATTATTTCTTTCAGAATATTAATTATAAAGGTTTTCTTAAGCTTTTGGGTTTCTTTTCTACCCTGGTTCCCGCCCTAATTCTGTTTCTTTTGAGTCCCCTTGTTTCTTTCGAGTCTTGCCTTTGATGTTGGAGGCTTTCTCAATTGTTTGCTGGTCACTGGTTCATTGTGAGTGGAGTGTGTAAAAGCTGATTGGGACACATACACATATACAGGCTTCTTGGTGCTCGCTGTGTAATGTCCTGCCCCACTTTCGAACACTGTCAACAAGAAAGACGTCACCAGATGCTTCCCAGAACTGAGTCAAAACAAACCTCTTTTCTTTATAACTTTAAAAAGAACGAAGCAAAACAAAACGACCGAAAAACTGAAACTTGTATGTAAAGCAGTATCAGAACAGAAGCAGCTCCAGTGTCCATCAGCAGTAGAGTGCAGAAATGGATTGTGGAGTAGACGCGCAGTGGAACACTGCTGAGGAAGGAGAACGAGTACACTGCAGTTACTTGCTGCAATGTAGGAGTCTCACAAGCACACTGGGTATAAGAAGCTAGACGCAGAAGTACGCATTGTAGGCTTCTGTTTGGTTAATGTCCAAGGCAAAATTCCTCTGAGATGTTAAAGGTCATATACTGGTTTCCTGTGGAGGGCACAGTGGCTAGTGCATAGCATGAGGTGCAGGTACCTTTTGTGTTGCCGGTCATACTTGTTCTTCGAACTGGGTATAGAATGTGTTATTTTATTGAGCTGTACTTATGTGATTTTTGGTATGTACACATCAAATAAAAGTTGAATCTCTTGTACAGGGCTAGTTTTTGAACTACCCACAGAATGTGAACACACAGGCTATTCAGACAGCCTTTTTCGGGGAACTCCTGAGTGCCACTGTTTGTTTGAAGATGGGACATAGTTGTATTTGTTCTTTTTGCCATATTTAACTGAAAGTATTCAGTTTCTAAATCCCATATACAGACAAAGCAAGGTATCTGTTTTGCAATACTGAGGATTTAACCCAGGCCATTGCACATACTGGCAAGTGCTCTACCACTGATATCATCTACCTTTTATTTTGAGACAAGGTCTTGTTAAATTGCCCAGGTTGGTTTCAAACTTGTGATGCTCCTGCTTCAGCCTCCAAAGTAGTAGGAATTATAGGTATACTGTATTATGCCCCAGGAAAGGCAGAGTGTCTTTTGTAAGGTGCCTAACATGAGCCAGAAACAACATTTCTTCTTTGAGAAATACATTAGTAGAGTTGGAATTCCTATTACTTCACTCAGTCATTTAGCAGATATTTACAAAAGACAAACAAGTTCATGTCCTCCAGCAGTGTACAGCACAGCAGAAATAGCAAGCATTAATGTAAACAGGATGAGCCTCAGAAGGGAAATGTCAACTGCTCTGAAAGACTAGGAGGAAACTGTAGCATTGTTTTGGGGGCAGGGAAGACTTCCCTAAGCAAATGACGTTGTAGTTAGGGGAAGAATAAGGGAAAATACTCAATTTTTATCTCAGTGCTACATTTTGCTTGATGTGAAACTCTTTATTCTTATCTGTCTGACCACTCTATTGTGTGATTGCAGGTGGAGAGTATAGTGAAGATGATGTAAATGAATTAGTAAAGGAAGATGAAGTGGATGGCGAAGAGCAGACACAGAAAACCAAAGGGAAAAAAAGAAAGACTCAGAGCATTCCGGCCAGGTGATGCTGCCCGTGGGGCCCTTAGCTATTAGGAGCTGTGGTCACGGCCATCCTGATTGCTGAGATCGATCTGATAATAGAACCCCCTCCACACTACATCCCTAGCTCTTTTTGGGCTAAGTCCAAGATCTTGCTAAGTCACTTAATTGCTCAGGCTGGGGTTGAACTTGTGGTCTTCCTGCCTCAGCCTCTCAGAGTGTCCACTTCCTTACTTGATGTGCAGACTTCCTTAAATTTTTTGAGTCAAGGTCTTGCTAAGTCACTTAGTTGCCAGACTAGGATCAAACTTGTGGTCCTCCTGCCTGAGCCATATTATAGATGTACACCACTATGCCCAGCTTTGTGATAGATTTTTTTTTTTTTTGATACTGGGGATTGAACTCACAACCTTGCACCTGCTAAGCAGGTGCTTGAGCTGCTGAGCTAAACCCCTGGCCTCAGATTTTTTTTTTTTTAAATGGTAACAAAGTATATTTGAAAAACTAAAAAGAATGAAAGAAACTGGCTCTGCAGAGCAAGCTTGGGCCAAGTAAAAGAGGAAAAAACAAGATAAAAGTACATCCTTGAGGACACGTGGCATGCTATCATGAGGAGAGCCATGATAGGTGATAGCTTTCTCATTGACAGGATTTCTAACCCTTTTCTCTTTGAGGGAAACATTTAGTGATATTTTGGAATTCTTAGTCTCTGCAAATTTAAAAAATTTTAAGGTTTTAATTTTTTAAAATTATAATAAACTTTGTCAAACTGGTTAAAACAAAATATTAGTACTAAAAAGGGCTTGATGAACTTGCCTTGAACTGTTACCAAAGATACTTTGTGCAAGTACAGTATGTTTACAAATGTTTACAATTCTCTTCATGTTTTTTCTATCCTTTTTATTTAAAAAAAATACAAATGCTTAGCACACTTTACATATTGCTTTTCATTTTGCTTATTTCACATCTTGAAAGTGGTCTCATGACCGTTCATTTAGACATACTTGGTCCTTTTCAGCTACTGCATAGGAATATATGAGTAGGTCTTACTTTAAGCATTTTTATACTGGGGAACAAGTAGATTGTACTTAGTCTTTACTGCAACAAACAAGACTGCAATGAATGTTCTTTGTACAAGTCTTAATTACATGAAAAGTATATCTCTAAGTCAATTTTGTAGATGTGAAATTGTTTAAGCTAAGGTTGTATGCAGTTAAATTTTTTAAAATAGTTGATTTCCTTCCATACACCTGACATTTAATTGAGAAAATTCTGATCAGTTCTATAACTCAAATGAAAGCTTTTTTTGGTTTTAGTTTTTTGAGACAGGGTTATACAATGAGTAATCCAGGCTGATTTTGAACTCACCATGTAGTCCAGGTTAGCCTTGATCTCTCTGTGATCCTCCTGCCTCAGCCTCCTGAGTGCTGGAATTAGAGGCATGCACCACCATGCCTGAACATGAAGGCATCCTCCAATAAGTCTTTTACTTTACTGGTGTTTCTGTCTTTACTGTATTTCTGGGGATTGGAGAAAAAACATATTGTGGTTTATGAAAAGGAAAAAGAATTTTAGATATTGAATAATTCACTTACAGTCAAAATAGTTATCTTTTGGCAGTTATCTTACAAGTCTTGAATACAGCTTTTGTCCACAAGTCACTCCATGTCTCACCTTTCACTTCTTTAGAAAGTGGGATGAAACATTGACCTATTTTTTTCCATGAGAACTTAAAGAAATAATGCAGATAAATTTGTGCTTTTTTAGAACAGAATTACCCTTTAAAAGGTAAAAAAAAATTTATTGTACTTTTGTCCTCAGAACATTGAGCAGAGTAATTCTGAGTGATTTTGTGCGTTTTCTTAGAAAACGGCATGGTGGTCATGACTTAGAATACTGTATTTTGATTCTAAATAATTGAAATTGCTAAAAACAAGAACCCAGTTCGTTTTTTCTTCCACAAAATCAATTTACCTCTCTTGGTCCTCTTATTATGTTTATTATCATAGTAATTCCAGATTTAAACTTTTTTTTTGTTTTGTTTTTAGTTAGGCAAGTTGTGATGGAATTGAGGAAAGGGTAACAAATCATTTGCGTTGTCTGCCTTTTCTGTCCTTTCCCTGGATGATCAGGAAGAGAAAACAAAGCTGCCTGTTGTTAGAGGACGAAGAGGAGGATGCCAAGACAAAATCCGGAGGAAGCAGCAGCGAGGAGGATGGGGTAGGAGAGGTGGAGAAAGGCACTGGGCCTGAGGACGCAAGGCGGAAGAAGGAGGATGAGCTCTGGGCTAGCTTCCTCAATGACGTGGGACCAAAGTCCAAAGTGCCCCCGAGCACACAGGCGAAGGTAAGGTAGCAGATTAAGGAAATAAGTACCTCTCCAGAAATGCTTTTCCTTCCCCAAATAGTTTTTTTGGTTGGTTTGCTTAATTTACGAACTAAGATTTTTAAATCTAATTTATTTATTTTTTTATTTTGGTACTGGGAATTGAACTCACAACCTTGTGCTTGCCAGGCAGGTACTTATGCCACTGAGCTAAACCCCCAGCCCTAAGATTTAAATCTTAGAGCAGAGAGACTCGATGCCTTTTGGTAGTACCTTTACTAAGTGAAGAGTGAAACATTTGCTATGATAGGAGCACAAACCTTTCTAATCAAACAAATTCTCAGTAGCTCTTTAACTGATTAGGAGTGAAACGTTTGAGAACAGCTGTAAACAGCATGATCAGATGGCTCTTTTTAGTTTGGTGAAACTGACTACAATTTTTGCTTTTTTCATAGACAGAAGAACAGACTGAAGAGACAACTTCAAGTAAATCGTTGATCAAAACAGAAGAGCTAGAGAAACCTAAAGAAGCAGAAAAAGTTAAAATCACTAAGGTGTTTGATTTTGCTGGTGAAGAAGTAAGGTAAGCAGACCTGTATAAACACTGAAATTAGTTGGGTAGTTTTTTTTAATCTTTTTTTGAGGCAAGGTCTTGATATGTGGTTCAGGCTGGCCTGGGGCTCACTTTGTAGCTGGTTCAGGCTGGTCTCAGACTTGCAAAAATCCTCCTACCTCATGCTCCTGAGTGCTGGAATTACAGGAGTTTGTTGCCATACCCAGCTGAAACTAGTTCTTTTAAAAATGAGCCAGGTGTGGTCGCACAGACTGGTAATACTAATTACTCAGGAGACTGAGGCATGCAGGTCACAGGTTTGAGGTCAGAATGGGCAATCTGGTGAGACCTTGTCTCAGAGTAACAAAAAAGCACTGCAAAATGTGGCTCAGCGGTAGAACACTTGCCTAGCATACACGAAGCCCTGCATTTCTGAAAGAATTTCTGAAAGAAAACAAAAGCAAAAACAAGTGTCTTTGTAAATGGTATTAGACATCTATCCTTTTCCAACCTATCTTAGTATTTTGCAGAAGTTTGTATTTCTACTTGTTCTTGCCGTGCTTTGGACTTTGAATAAATCATTATTCCTTTTTTTTTAAACTGTGCTTGAATTTGAAATAGCAGCCCTAAAATCAGGTAAGAAGAATGAAAATGCTAGAGAGAGATTTGGTTCCGGTATTGTTTCTTCTTCTTAATATTGTGAGATTTGTTTACTGTAGTTAGGAAAAGAGTAGAGACTCAGCACGACCAATTAGTTTAGCCTACTGCCATTTTAAGTAAAAGTAGTATGGCTGGCCAGTGGTGTTGGCATACAACTTAATCTCAGCACTCATTTAGAGGCTAGCCTGGGTTACATAGTGAGTTCACATCTGGCCTGGACCACATAGGGAGACCCTCTCTCAAAAAGAAAAGAAAAGAAAAATAAAGTATGCCTGCACTTTCCGCTCTTTGTTTTTGGGTTTTTTTCTAGTTATTGTTTTTTGTTGTATTTAAAGTCTTTATGAAACAGAGTTCCACTATTCACTTTAGTCTGGCCCTGAACTCATAGCAGTCCTACTGCCTTGGCTTTCCTAGTGCTAGGATTACATGCATGCACCACCATATCTGGTCCTTCTCTTCTCATTTATTTAAATTTATTTGTGTGTGCACGTTACTGGGGATTGAACCCAGGGGCTTCACACTGAGCTACATCTCCAGCTTTTTTTCTTTTCTTTTTTTTTTTTTTTTTTTTGAGACAGGGTCTTGTTCTGTACCCAAGGCTGGTCTTGAACTCGTAGGGATCCTCCTGAGTGCTGGGATTATAGATGTGCACCACCACACCCTGCTCTCCTAGCCCTTTTATTTTTGTATTTTTTTGAGACAGAGTCTTGCCAAGCTGGACTCGAAATTAATAATATTCTGCCTCAGCCTCTCAGAGTGCTGGGATTACAGGCAGGTATCACCACTACTGGCTAGATTGTAATTTTGAGCTAATCGAGAAAGAATGAAATGCCAATTAATAGTTTTATAGGTGGTCACACTTATTTTCTTGGACAGTAACAAATTAGACTTGTAGGCTCTCTAAAAACAGGATGTCTCCTGAAATTAGTATTCTTAAAAATAGTATTTATTTTTTTAAGCCTGGTGTGTTGACGTAGGCCTGTAATCTCAGCACATGGGAAGTTGGGTCAGGAGGATCACTGAAAGTTCGAGGCCAGCTTGGAAGTTCAAGGTCAGCTTGAATTGCATAGGAAGATCATGTCTCAAAAACAAACAAAAAAAACCCAGATTACTGTCTGTGATTTAAAGTTTTAAATCTGTTGGAGATTAATACTTTTGTTAAAACAATAAAGAGTTGATAGAAAAATAAATTAAGATATTTAAATATAAGCCCACATTTTTCATAAAATTCAACAGACATCAAATTTCATTTTAAAATTACTCAAACCAATAGGAAACACTCTTCACTGAAAGTGTGGGTATAGGTGGTTAATACAGGAAATTACTATTACACCTTTTATTCTGTAATTGAATTAAAAAACTGAGTGAGATACCAGTTCTTCGTATTCAACTTGAGACAAAACTTTTAGTAATGCTGTTTAATATTGAATACTTTTAGTATTGCTGTTTAATATTTATTGTTGCAGAAGAGCTTATTTCTTGCTACTAATGTTATGCAACATAATTTGGATTAGTACTACTCCTGGGGGAAATGGATATGTAAATTGTTTCTGTGTGTGTGTGTGTGTGTGTGTTTAAGACAGATCTCACTATGTACTTGAGGCTGCCCTTGAACTCACTGTGTTGCCCAGGCTGGCCTCAAACTCATGGAGATCCTCCCACATTAGCTTCCCAAGTGATAGAATTACAAGTCTGGACTACTGTGCCCAGCCTGGTTCCTTTTTTTTGAGATAGGTTTTTGCTATGTGGTTTAAGGCTGTCCTTGAACTCATGGTCATTCTCCTGCCTTTGCATCCTAGGTTCTGGGATTATAGGAATATAGCGCCATGCCTGACTCAGTTTTCTTTTTTTTTTTTTTTTTTTTGGTCCTTTTCGTTTTTATTGGTACCAGGGACTCAGTTTTCTTTTTTTTCTTTGGTCCTTTTCGTTTTTATCGGTACCAGGGATCGAACTCACAACTGCCTGCTTGCAAGGCAGGCAGGCGCTTATGCCGCTGAGCTAAACCCCCAGCCCCTCAGTTTTCTTTTTTAAAGAAACAAAAAAACACTAAGCATTTTAGATGTAGCTGAGTGGCAGAGAGCTTGTCCATCATGCTTGAGGGCCTAGGTTAAATACTAGTACTGCAAGCAAACAGAAACCCCCATCATGAAGAAACCCATTATACTAGGCACTGTAATTCCAGCTGCTCTGGAAGCTGAGATAGGCAGGAGGATTGCACATTTGAGGCCAGTCGAGGCAAGTTTGAGAGACCTGATCTCAGACTAAAAATGGCTGGAAGCTACGTGTGGTGACGCATGTCTGTAATCTTAGCTTTCTCAGGTTGAGGCAGAAGAACTACATGTTTGATGGTGACCTTGTCTCAAAATTAAAAAGGTAAAAGTACTATGGATATAGCTCAGTGTGAAGGTTCTGGGGTCAATCCCCTGTCTACCCCCCAAAAAAACCTAAAAATTAATTTGATCACAAATTTAATGATTTCTTATAGCCACAGTTACCAGCTTTCTGTAATCTGCAGGTATAAACACATCTTTAGATAATTCCGCATGACACATGGGAAATAATTCAAGCTGAGGCAGACTTCTACATTTTTATCTTACAATACTGGGGATTGAACCTAGGGCCTGAGAAATGCAAAACAAATGCTCTGTCACTGAGCTACATTATGAGGCTTTTTTTTTTGTACTGGGGATTGAACTTGTGATTTCACCCTTGCCAGAAAAGACATTTATGCTGCTAGCTGAATCCCTGGCCCTTGTTAGGCCTTTTTATTTTGAGACAGGATCTCACTAAGTTGTCCAGGCTGGCCTCGAGTTCATGATCCTATTACCTCAACCTTCCAAATGGCTAGGATTACAAGGTTGTTACATAATGCCTGGCCAAAGACTTTTTTTTTTTTTCTTTTTTTGGTACCAGGTATCGAACTCATGATCTCGCACTTGCCAGGCAGGCACTTACCCCACTGAGCTAAATTCCTGGCCTTGGCCAAAGATTTTTAAACTGGTATTTCTAAATGGCACATTAGTATACTTTATAAATTATTTTATAGGACTTCAAAAGCACTGAAGATTTACTGTTGGTATGCTGCTACTCCCTGCTAGACAACACAGTAGCTTCTTGTGTGATTTCTAGAGGCAAAATACATTATTCACATCATCACTTGTTTAATGGGTCCCCAAAATGATTATGACTATGCTAAAAGTCCCTTATGGTGGAGATTTCTTTTTTGTTTCTATGTAGTACCGGTGATTGGGTTACTTTCCCCAGATGGATAGTAGAGAATTCTAACAAATATGGCCTCTTGTGGTCTAACTTACACCAGTACAGGACCCTCTGATGGGTGAGAAGCACTATCAAAGTAGAATCTTGTGTAACATGATTAATCTGAATGTAAACACAAGAAAACAGCTTAATTCAGGGCTCTTCTGTAAAATAAAATGGTGTAGGCTTAAAAGATTAAATGCAGTATTTAATCTTGAATGTCTTGGACTACACAAGAAGTTCAACTAGAAAGAACATCATTGGGGTAGCTAGGGAGAAATTTGAGTACAGCATACTAGAGTGCTGCTCAAAATATGGGTTGTAAACTACCTATTTTGGAAAAAAATGTGAAAAAAATTAAAACACCACCAGTTACTGTTTTGAGACGAGATGGATACAGAAACTGTGAGCACTTACAAATTTGTTTACCAATTCAGCAATGTCAACCTATTCAAGACATTGTCTGAATCACAGTGTTAAACACTGTATAGACAAATTCAGTTAGTATCAAACTTTCAGAGTGAGTCATGTGATATAAACTGAGTATTAGTCATCTGCAGTCAGACTACATTACACAGCCTGGTGTTGTGGAACGTGTCTGTAATCCCAGCACTGGGGGGCTGTGGTAGGAAGGGCACCCCAGGTTTAAGGTCAGCCTTGGCTACATGGTGAGTTCAACTCCAGTCTGAACTGTATAGCAAGACCCTGTTTCCAAACCCCCCCCCCCCAAAACACCACACACACACACACACACACACACACACACACACACACACACAAGATTATATTACGATATGGTATTTCAAGGTTATTTTATCAACTAAAGCCCAAATGTTTTTTGTTTTGTTTCATTTTTGTTACTGGGAATCGAAAAAGCCCAAATGTTGATTGACTTGTTTGAGACAGTCTCACTATAGTTCAGGCTGGCTTGGACTTACTAATGTAGCTCAGGCTGCCCTCAGACTTGTGGTGATCCTCTAGCTTGAGCCCCCCAAGTGCTGGGTTACAGACATGTGTTGAGATTTTATTTTACAATTATTTTTTTCAAGTGTGATTTTTAAAAAATACTTATTTAGTAGTTTAATAATTTACTAAGTAACCCAGCATGGTGG